GTGTGGGGTGGCATTTCTTTGGGGGGCCGCACAGCCCTCCATGTGCTCGCCAGAGGTAGCCTGACTGCCATTAGGTACCGAGATGAGATCCTCAGACCCCTTGTGAGACCATATGCTGGTGCGGTTGGCCCTGGGTTCCTCCTAATGCAAGACAATGCTAGACCTCATGTGGCTGGAGTGTGTCAGCAGTTCCTGCAAGAGGACGGCATTGATGCTATGGACCGCCCGTTCCCCAGACCTGAATCCAATTGAGCACATCTGGGACATCATGTCTCGCTCCATCCACCAACGCCACGTTGCACCACAGACTGTCCAGGAGTTGGCGGATGCTTTAGTCCAGGTCTGGGAGGAGATCCCTCAGGAGACCATCTGCCACCTCATCAGGAGCATGCCCAGGCGTTGTAGGGAGGTCATACAGGCACGTGGAGGCCACACACACTACTGAGCCTAATTTTGACTTGTTTTAAGGACATTACATCAAAGTTGGATCAGCCTGTAGTGTGGTTTTCCACTTTAATTTTGAGGGTGACTCCAATTCCAGACCTCCATGGGTTGATACATTTGATTTCCATTGATAATTTTTGTGTGATTTAGTTGTCAGCACATTCAACTATGTAAAGAAAAAAGTATTGAATAAGATTATTTCATTCATTCAGATCTAGGATGTGTTGTTTGAGTGCTCCCTTTATTTTTTTGAGCAGTGTATATATATATGTTTTTGTTTTGGGGGGGGGGGGTGACCTAGTGCCACCCTGCGACCCCTCGTGCCAACCCCCCCCCCCCCACACACACAGTTTGGGAACCACTGCGTGTAACAAATCAAGCCAATCAGAACAGGTTTAAATGAGCGGCAGCCAAAGCCCTGCAATAGAACAGCACGACTGTGTGAGTGCATAGTGATGCCATACCGTCCGCGTCAGGAACTCTGAAGCTTATAGCGGCAGGCTAATAATGTTCACTAGCCGAATTGCGCTTCTCCTCTCTTCTCGCCAAACCAACTCGTTAATGTCGTAAAGGTGGATTCCAATGCTCCAGAGACAGAGAAGGTAGCGCACAGGTAAACCGTTTGGTCATTTGATTGTAGGCTATGTACACTGTCAATAGAATGCAGTTCGGGACTTGTCCAAATTGGCTCAGTTACTGTAGCTATCGTAATATACAGGCATGATAGACGATACGCCGGCGACATAATAATACGAATTTTGACAACATGTTTGAAGGCAGACGTGTGATCACCTAGGATTACTCGATAGGTGTTTTACAGGTGAGAATATAGCTACATTGGGCGAGTGGTGTCACTGTAGCCTAATTTACATATAGACGAGAGTGATTGAATAATTTATTACTCATCCAGTGTCAACGGGTTCATACTTGAATTACATCAGTGGCAGCATTTTGTCTCACATGCTAATGGTAATGTGGCAGCAAATAGCCTCCCTCTCAAGTTCTCTGAATGATTAGGTTATATTCCTGCTGCAAGTTGATAAGAAATTATTGAAAATTAGGGGAAGCTTTGCCAATCCTTTTTCTGAAACACATTCCCCAGTTTTCCTTTGTCTGTGTGGGTGAACCTTTTGAAGTCCAGTAGAGGTCCCTGCTTTAGATTTATGTGATGCACTGTCCATAGGCTAGTTAGCCCACCTCAAGTGTGCACACTTGACTTGATAGTACTGTATCTGGAGAGCTATCGATCTGATCTCTTCCCTGCTGTTCCTCTGGACTTCAGCACCTGTCCTCTGCCCCCACACCTCCCTCATCCCTTCTCTCTCTCCCCATCCTTTTCTTCTGCCCATCCTCTCCCTCCCCTCTCCCTCTCCCTCACCTATCCCTCTCCTCTCCCTCGACCTCAGCCTATCCCTTGATCTCACCTCTCTCCATTCCTCTCACCATTTCTTTCCCCAGCCTCCTCTGCCTATCATTCAATCTCTCCCCATCCCTTAATCTCACTATCCCTCTTTCCCCTCCTCTCCCCATCCATCCCTATATCCCCTCTCACCATACCTCTCTTCCCTTGATTTTAACATAGTGTACTTCTGTGAGGTCACACTAACGTCAGGGTTACGTTAAGACAGCTAGTGTCCTAGAAGTGCTATTTACGTGTGTGTGTGCACGCGCAGAGCGGAGGAGCCATGACTCTGACGAGAGGGTCGTTCACCTACACCACTGGGGAGGAGTACCACGGGGAGTGGAAAGAAGGCAAGGCATCTCCTCTCTTAACCTTCTTTTTCAAGTTCACTTCATTTGACATCATTATATAGTAGGCACATATAGTGGCTGATCAATATGGCGCCAATGCATCATGCTTTATACTGGTATGTAGGCCTTCATGTATATATGAGAGTATGGTGATTCTCTAATCTGTTTTGTGTTCTAATATTCCTACGAACCCTTCACACTGAAGTCCAGAGGTTATTCAATTCATGGGATCAATAATCTGAACGTAATATCCTCTGGGGCTAGCATCAGCCAGATATTTTCATCCACAGAGCTGTCGAATATAACATCCTTACAGCCTCATTACCAGCAGCTAGCATCTCTAGGCAGTTCCCTGGAGTCTCTGACTCCATAGTATGTTACCTAACAGTCTCCCGTGGCTCTGTTTCTCTATGTGTCTTAACTAACAGTACCCTGTGTCTGTTTCTCTATGTGTCTTAACTAACAGTACCCTGTGTCTGTTTCTCTATGTGTCTTAACTAACAGTACCCTGTGTCTGTTTCTCTATGTGTCTTAACTAACAGTACCCTGTGTCTGTTTCTCTATGGGTCTTAACTAACAGTACCCTGTGTCTGTTTCTCTATGTGTCTTAACTAACAGTACCATGTGTCTGTTTCTCTATGTGTCTTAACTAACAGTATCCTGTGTCTGTTTCTCTATGTCTTAACTGTACGTATTTAGTTGGTCAGTAATTAGGGATAATCTGGGCAGGATGAATACCAGTGAGAGGGTGGAGGTTGGGGGAATACTGTGAACTCAACAACCCTTTGTCTTCTTCCTGTCATTTCTTATTTCTGTAAGGCACGGGACTAGGTTTTTAAACATAGAAACAAATGCACAGAATAGTCTCCCCATTTCCAAAAGTGTTTGATCTTATTATTTCCGACCACACACACACACACACGTAGTCTATTAAGCCAAATCCTAACTAGCCTTTAACCCATGACCCATCACGTCAAGGCCGACCTCCTGTTGCTCTGTCAAATCTCCAGGATTAGGCCTTGGACCGCTTTAGGAAACACACTGGAAAGCTCAGACTCAACCCCTGTTGAGGAGACAAAGGTCAAGCAACAGAACAGCCAAACACATCTACCAGGAGGAACTATAATATTCACAAGAATATTTCAAAACTTGAGATCGTTAAAACATACTTTTTGTTTAAAAGGTCAGCTCCCTCAAACAACACAGCCATGTTATTTATTAATTTTACCTTTATTTAACTAGGAAAGTCAGTTAAGAACAAATTCTTATTTTCAATGACGGCCTACACCGGCCAAACCCGGACGACGCTGGGCCAATTGTGCGCCGCCCTATGGGACTCCCAATCATGGCCGGTTGTGATACAGCCTGGAATCGAACCAGCGGGTCTGTAGTGACGCCTCAAGCACTGAGATGCAGTGCCTTAGACCGCTGTGCCACTCGGGAGCCCAATATAAACCGTGTCCACAGTTTTAATGAGTATAGAAGTCCAATGCAAGGTCAAAGAATGTTAAGAGAGCAGGATTGCAGTTTATATACCGTAACATCTACTGTAAAATGTGGAATAAATACCCTAAACCTTCTTGTATCTGACCTGTAGATGATTGGCTAAGTACACATTCTTAGGGTTATATGGGGAGAACAGCCTCATACATTCTGTATTGGATCATACAGGTGGCAGATACACATTAATTCCTTGAATTATTTTGCGCGTGTGTGTGGTAGATCATTCGCAGACAGATTCTGAAGTAGGAATCCCTGTTAGAAACCTGCTGGATTAGACCGCTTTGAGGCAGTAGGCAGATGGTATCCTAATATACTAAACCTGCTGGATTAGACCTCTTTAAGGAGGCAGTAGGCAGATGGTATCCTAATATACTAAACCTGCTGGATTAGACCGCTTTGAGGCAGTAGGCAGATGGTATCCTAATATACTAAACCTGCTGGATTAGACCGCTTTTAGGCAGATGGTATCCTAATATGTGGTCCTCAGTAGCTCAGCTGGTAGAGCACGGCGCTTGTAACGCCAAGGTAGTGGGTTCGATCCCCGGGACCACCCATACACAAAACATTTTTATGCACGCATGTAAGTCGCTTTGGATAAAAGCGTCTGCTAAATCGCATATTATTATATTATACTAAACCTGCTGGATTAGACCTCTTTAAGGATGCAGTAGGCAGATGGTATCCTAATATACTAAACCTGCTGGATTAGACCGCTTTGAGGCAGTAGGCAGATGGTATCCTAATATACTAAACCTGCTGGATTAGACCGCTTTAAGGAGGCAGTAGGCAGATGGTATCCTAATATACTAAACCTGCTGGATTAGACCTCGAGGCAGTAGGCAGATGGTATCCTAATATACTAAACCTGCTGGATTAGACCGCTTTGAAGAGGCAGTAGGCAGATGGTATCCTAATATACTAAACCTGCTGGATTAGACCTCGAGGCAGTAGGCAGATGGTATCCTAATATACTAAACCTCTAGTTCGTATAGGGAAGGAAGGTTACAGTTCAAAATAGTGTGTATACAGGACTCGTGCCAAGAAGCACATATTATTCAACGATCAAGAAGCCTATTACAAGAGCATTGGGCCATGCAGTAGGTTGAATTATTTGATGATAAGGAAGGAAGGAAAGAAGAAATGCTGCATTTCTAAAGTAATCTAACAGCTCAGATTGTTGTATTTTCTGTCTGTGTGTTTAATAACTTAAAGGATGTCTCGTTCTGTTGTACCCTCTCCCCCCCCCCCATCCCATCAGGTCGTAGACATGGAATGGGCCAGCTGAAGTTCTCAGATGGAACATGCTACGCGGGACAGTTTGAGAATGGACTGTTCCAAGGCTCGGGGGTGCTCCTCTTCCCAGACGGATCCAGGTGTGTGTACGCGTGTGCGCGTGTGTGTGTACATCTTCTTTATTTCATATTTTGTTTTTCTTCATCCCTAGGTATGAGGGGCAGTTTGCCCAGGGGAAGTTCCAGGGAGCCGGGGTCTTCAGTCGCTTTGATGGGATGAAGTTTGAAGGGGAGTTCAAGAGTGGACGTGTGGCGGGATATGGTAAGTTTATCAAACCACAAGTCTCTAATAGGAGTAACGGTTGCAAAACAAAGACAACCCCTACCCCATCTAGCTGTTATTATTTTTAGTGTTCCAATCAGCATCTCATCCTACATCTTGTGTCTGTGTTGTCCAGGGTTACTGACGTTTCCAGATGGGAACCATGGTGTGCCGCGTAAAGAGGGCCTGTTTGAGAACCACAAGCTGCAGAAGAGGGAGAAGTGCCAAGGGGTGGTACTGCAGGCACAGGGAGCCGCCTCCACCGCCCGCAGTCTGGCTCTATGACCCTGCAGACACCCCAGACCCCACCAGGACACTATGAGGAGTGGCTAGCCGTTCAGCAACTGGACTCCTTTTAGATCCAAAATGGTGGAACAATGGGGCTCAACCATGGCCGGGGTACAATGTCCTCATACAGGCACTCAGGGATGAACAACAGGGTTATGCACCAGGGTTGTGGTCAATTGTAAATTGAGTTGCGAATCGGTCTTTAATTCCAATTCAATTCTTGAATTTGAATTGGCCACACCCCACAGAAAGCAGAATTTAATTTAAATTCAAGGAAGTAGAATTTAATTCAATTTATTTTATTCAAATTCAAATGTCTCATTTATTCTACACATCACTTGGCCTATGCACAATGTACAGTTACTAACACTATGTATAACATACTGTAGGTTAAACCTAACATGACCTCTTTGAGTTATAATCAAGTTAATATTTTAAATGTGGTTTTCTTTGCAGTAATAAGTTGTATATGCTTTTGGTAAAATATATGTCAAAGGAATGAAACGTTCAATTTCTTTGAATTGGTTTGAATTAAATGTCTACTTCCTTCAATTCAAAGTCTGCTTCCTGTGGGGTGTGGCCAATTTCAAATTGAATTTAGAATTTCACGGCATGAATTCAATTCTGAATTGACCCCAACCCTGTTATGCTCTCCCTGCCCTGTTCTGCCTTGGTGCCCTCACCAGGTTTATGGCTCTATACTACACACCATTTTGTGTTTTTTGTACACCGTTATGGCTCTTCTATACATAGACTTCTGCTATCACCTCAACAAGCGACGTAAAGGGAAACTGGGATGCCTTTCATTGTGTGGAACTGTGGTTGTGTGAATTCACCCAGAATATACCTTGGATGGACATGGGCAAACTAAATGCCTGCCTGCTCTGCTAGGAGGGGCTACTGACTCTACACAGCCTTGGGATTGGTCTCTGTGTTTGTCAGTCAGGACTAGCAAAGTTCAGCAACAAAAATTGGGACCATAACATAAGCCTACAGTGTCTGAAATGTAAATAATTAGAACTACAACAATGACCGTGTTTCTGCAATGAAACCCACAACACAATCACAGCATCTCACCTTAGAACAGGAAAACACTGCTTGCTGGCAATCTTAATTCCATACTTCATCTGATGCCTGTTCAGGTCAGGAGGTTGCTTAATGTTACTGAACGTGACAATAGGATAACGACAGGTATGATTGTTATTCAAGTAGAATGAAAAGTATCCAAGTAAATTAGCTGTTACTTGTTCTTTAATCTATGTCTTAATGCATGTGTGTGGGAGCCTGGCAGGCCACATTGTTCTCTTTTGTCTTGAAATATCTTTATGACAGGGCTGTTCAATTCCAGTCCTGGAGGGCCAAAACGTGTGAAAATGTTTTTCTTCTAACTGGTAGTTAATTGTACTCACCTGGTATCCCAGGTCTGAATTAGTCCGTTATTAGACGGAGAGGATGAAAACCAGAAGTGTTTGGCCCCTCTAGGACCCACACTGAACAGCCCTGTTTTATGATAACACTGACAGGCTGCTTCTCAGGTTAGCACTCGCCCCCCCAGTCTTGGTCTTGACTCAAACTAAATTTGCTCCGGTCTTGAATCGGTCTCACTTTAGGTCTCAAACAAAACATTGACCCCGCAGATGTATTGTTTTGACAACGTGAAAATGTCCCAAAACATGATTCATTTATTATTCACTAATTAGTGGTTCTCACCTACAACATTAAGCTGTATGATCGTAATGGAAATGCATTATTTAAAGAATCAAGTATTTCATTTTTCAGCTATTGATCAAATAGGCATCGCTCTGGTAAACTAGTCCTATACTGAGACTTATCTACAATATGTGAATAATGACCTATTGATATGTTTGTCTTGTAGGTCGAACACACATTTCCCGTTTGCCTTAACAGGGTGTGTTGGAGAAATGGTCTAAACAGGGGAACTGTTCATTTGAGGAGGATGAAAATTCATAGAAGACCTCCTTCCTCCCCTCTATCATCCTCTTCTTCCTTTCCCTCCTCCTCTCTCAACCTCTTCTACCCTCATCCCTCCTCTCGTCCTCCCTCCATAACCCCTCCCATCCTCTTCCTCTCCTCCCCTCTCCTACCGCTCCATTTGCCCTGAGGGTGTATCCAGGAGCCTGACATCCTAATGAGGCTCACACACACAAAATACTATCCTCTGTGACACATGCTGTGGTGATGACGGGATTCAACTCAAATGATTCTGAGTCCAGTGTTTTTCCACTCTAACATTTGGAAGGAGAGAGTAGGTTCAACAGTATGATTTTGACAGGCATGAATCCTTAGTTGCTACATCATTGATTATTGATGAATATAACTTATAAATGCCTCGTGCTTAGTTTAACTGTCAGAACCCATCATAACCCAAATATACACTTGTTTTACTGTAATGTTTAACGTACATGTAAACAAACACTGTATAGCCTCAACACATAGTTAAAATTATACATTTGATATCATGGATGGTCAGTCCTTGAATCCATAGCGCTGTCTATGAATTTGAGAGTGATTACATTTCTCCAGACCCTCCCTTAGCTTTTTAGCGAAACGGGTGGGGAGTACGCTTTGTTATTGTTTCAATGAAAGAGTCTAGCTTTAAAGAAATGGATAGAGGGAAATGGGAAGAGTGAACTCGTGCACAGTCCGTATACTTCTAAAAACCAACATATAACAAATGCAACATTTCTGTCACATAGGCTATAGGCCTTTGTCAAGACATGAGGGAAGGACATGGTTGATCCGATAGCAGGCTGTTTATTCTCTATGGTGTGTATTGCTTTACATGTGTATCTTACAGTATATCTCTGCTAGGGGACAAGTGACACTTTATAGGCTAGTGGCACTTTATTAACCATTAGTTACACACCTATGATACTTGTCATTATTAGTCATAGGACGGTTGGTATCTGTATTCTGTGGGGTTGAATTGTATTCTACTAGGATTGATCATGGCTATAGTGTGATGATCCCAAATGAATCCATTGTACGTTAACCGTTTACTCTGAAGGAGTAAATATATGGTTTTGTCGGTGGATAACTAGAGCCTTTACTAAAGACAATGGAATGATTAGATAAACAGAGGATTTGGGAAGCAGACGTGTCTATAATGAGACCATCATTATCAGAAATATACTCCGTTATTCCCCAGAGAGTAGAATGAAATGGATATCAACGCTACATGTTAAAGACTTATCCTCTAGAGATTTATGCTAATAACAAAGACCAAGAGATTGACAGGAGACTTCTTATTGTTGACATTCCGGCTGCTAATTTGACAATAAAAAGTATCTTCTAATAAATATTTATCTTTGTTAAGATCTCTTTGTTGTTCGATAGGCAACACAGACTAGAGAAAATAATTATGTTAAAATGATCATTTAATTTATTTAAATGTTTTATTTGATAGAAAGATTGTCTCTTACAATGTCTATAGTCTATAGTGGTCTCCTCTCCTGCATCTCAATAGTCTATAGTTGTCTCCTCTCCTTCATCTCAATAGTCTATAGTGGTCTCCTCTCCTTGTCTCATCTCCTTCATTCCAATAGTCTATAGTGGTCTCCTCTCCTTGTCTCCTCTCCTTCATCCCAATAGTCTATAGTGGTCTCCTCTCCTTCATCCCAATAGTCTATAGTGGTCTCCTCTCCTTCATCCCAATAGTCTATAGTGGTCTCCTCTCCTTCATCCCAATAGTCTATAGTGGTCTCCTCTCCTTCATCCCAATAGTCTATAGTGGTCTCCTCTCCTTCATCCCAATAGTCTATAGTGGTCTCCTCTCCTTCAGCCCAATAGTCTATGGTGGTCTCCTCTCCTTCATCGCAATATTCTAAAGTGGCCTCCTCGTCTCCTCTCCATTTTCACTAACTGTAAATACAGTGTAGAAGAGAGCAATATGGTGGAGACCTAATAGGAAATAGTTTTGATCTGTGCCAGTGCTGTTCTTTCCTGTCAGAGCAGACGAGGTTCAGGAGAAGAGAAGAAGAAGGAGACGTATAAGATATGCAGTATCAAGTATCATAGTTTTAGTGTGCTTGTGTAAAGTTGAAGGCCATGGAGCGACCTTGATGTTTAATGATTGAGGACTATGGTATGACATCATGTGGTCAACTTGGCATATTGCAAGACAGAAAATGAATTCTGAAATCTGCTGTATTTTATTTGTAATAAGCTTCATGTGTGGATGTTAGGAGGACACTATATGGTAAGTTATACATAGAAATATGCAGTTGATTTAAAGGTTTGCTAAGCTAAATATATTACTGTAATTATTAAATAACATTGGCATACACACACGATCTGATATACAAAACCAACACGCTTGGATGCATCTTTTATGTACATAGTCCATACTCAACATACTGTCACTATGGCAATGATGTCCCCCGAGGGCTCAGAGGTCAAAGTTTAACCTGTTAATATCATCTAGGCAGGGACATATTCTGTCAGGTGAGGATTACTAATAATATGAATAGCTTTATCTTTAAGGTGCTTTTCAGGCATTGCACTCAAATCGATACCATTGTAGTGGTTGAGGGAGAACCTTTGGAGTGGGGCTTGAACCAACAACCCTGCAGTTATCCAGACCTATTGGCAAAGGTACAGTGAACTCAGATTCAGAGGGCTTATACTATTGTTACTACTGCCTTAAGCCCTTCCACTATTCAGAGACACACGTCCATGTAATCAAACCAACAGACATCTGACCGCTCTATCCCTGAGCAAGAGATCGTTTTCCCTCCGGCAGGACTGTACGTATGATGACAACAGGAAAATATCTCCACTGAACCCACTGAAGTATGTCCACACATCTCTAACCCAATCCTGGGGTTTAACAAAGGAAAAAACAGCCATCCCAACCATCCCATCCACCCCTAGGGTACCACAGAGACAATAGAACCAGTGTTTAATAAACATTGTCTGTAACTCTAGCCTCTGTAAAAATGAACCGTTTTTCAGTGACCTTTAAACGCAGAACAACTGCTGATGGACAGTCACTTTTAAAATGACTGTAATAATGGTGGAGGATGAACCAAATGCAGTGTCAAATCAAAACCTAATGCTGATATAAAGCTATGATGATGCAAACAACACATGGGCCTACTGCATTGGTAGCATTTTCATCTGCTCATGAAATACCGCGCATAAAGACTTTTAACAACAACAACAACAACGCACTTGGACATACATTTGTACGTAATTTGTTGATTTAATATCCTCATGGATGGTGTAATGTTGGAGAGCAAAGCCAGCAGTGAATGTACTGTACATCTTGGATTCTCAGATGGATGATCTGCAATTTACATTGAATATATGGTGACTAGCCTATATGGCAAGATAGTGTCCCCACTCGGCACAGACTTCAATTCAACGTCTATTCCATGTTGGTTCAACATAATTTCATTGAAATGACGTGGAAACAACGTTGATTCAACCAGTGTGTGCCCAGTGGGTCACTCTAATGCAGGAACACAGCTTTTCAGGGTTTCTAAAGCGCTTTAGGAGAGAATCGTCAATGAGCTGCTTTTTTAAAGTCCAAAGTAGGCTAAAGGTTTGAACAAGTCACCAGCACCACATTGCTCAGCTGAAAGGACTTGTGTTTTCAGTGAAAGCAGATGACATGAAAGCAGCAGTCTCACCTTCGCTGCTATAACGGTACACAGAACTAATCTCAGAACTTTAGCCTTTCGTGTCCTAGAAAGACACACTGAACATGACACATGAATCAAATACCATTTACATATGGGGCATGAGTATATAGGAAAAATATTATATAACACATACAGTAAGTAAAAGTGCTTGGTTTATGTTCCTGAGAGCCATGCAGACACTAGGAGAGTTGAGAATATAACTTGTACGATCCTGTTACATCATATATAACCAGAAAACAAGATAATGAGAGTTTGCTATGACTGTGGGTCTGCATTGAAATGACTTGATCAAATATATGGTAGCCCACTGGGCACAGACCTCTCTTCAACGTCTAGTTTTGATTTACATTTGAGAGACACACTCTTAGAAAAAAGGGTTCCAAAAGGGTTCTTCGGCTGTCCCCATAGGAGAACCCTTTTTGGTTCCAGGTAGAACCCTTTTTGGTTCCAGATTGAACTCTTTTGGGTTCCATGTACAACCCTATGTGGAAAGGGTTCTATATGGAGCTCAGAGGGGTTCTACCTGGAACCAAAAAGGGTTCTTCCAAGGGTTCTCCTATGGGGACAGCTGAAGAACCCTTTTAGGTTCTAGATATAACCTTTTTTTCTAAGAGTGCAGGGCTAAGTCTTGCAGGACTAAAAAGCCTGCACATACTGTGCCTGTCCAGGATGGGAGTTGAAGTTAAGCCCTTTGAACCCAGTCAGGGGCTGAGATGCTGGTGTCTGGATAGATAGGTAACAGTGGGGATGTGGAGGTTCAGGGCTGAAGGCTGATTTGGTGGTCTGGTTAGGTAGGTAACAGTGGGGATGTGGAGGTTCAGGGCTGAATGCTGTTTTGGTGGTCTGGTTAGGGAGGTAACAGTGGGGATGTGGAGGTTCAGGGCTGAAGGCTGATTTGGTGGACTGGTTAGGGAGGTAACAGTGGGGATGTGGAGGTTCAGGGCTGAAGGCTGATTTGGTGGACTGGTTAGGGATGTAACAGTGGGGATGTGGAGGTTCAGGGCTGAAGGCTGATTTGGTGGTCTGGTTAGGGATGTAACAGTGGGGATGTGGAGGTTCAGGGCTGAAGGCTGATTTGGTGGTCTGGTTAGGTAGGTAACAGTGGGGATGTGGAGGTTCAGGGCTGAAGGTTGATTTGGTGGTCTGGTTAGGTAGGTAACAGTGGGGATGTGGAAGGTTCAGGGCTGAAATCTGATTTGGTGGTCTGGTTAGGTAGTGTAACAGTGGGGAGGTGGAGGTTCAGGTCCTGAAGGCCTGATTTTGTGGACTGGTTAGGGAGGTAACAGTGGGGATGTGGAGGTTCAGGGATGGGGCTGATGGGGGACTGGTAGAGGAACAGTGGGATGTGGAGGTTCAGGGCTGAAGGCTGATTTGGTGGACTGGTTAGGGAGGTAACAGTGGGGATGTGGAGGTTCAGGGCTGAAGCTGATTGGTGGTCTGGTAGGGAACATGGGGTGGAGGTTCAGGGCTGACGGCTGATTTGGTGGTCTGGTTAGGATGTACAGTGGGGATGTGGAGGTTCAGGGCTGAAGGCTGATTTGGTGGACTGGTTAGGAGGTAACAGTGGGATGTGGAGTTCAGGCTGAAGGTGATTGGTGGATGGTTAGGTAGGTAACAGTGGGATGTGGGGTTCAGGCGAATCTGAATTTTGGTGGCTGGTTAGGTAGGTACAGTGGGATACATGGATTGGGGTCAGCGAACTGGGGCACGTAGACTACTGTTGAGTTAGGGAGTTTTGTGTACTGGTTAGGAGTACACATGGGGATGAGGGTTCAGCTGAAAGGCTGATTGTGGACTGTTGGACTGTACCATGGGACCTGTTTGAGGTTCAGGCTGAAGCTTTTTGGTGGACTTTGGGTTAGATGTACACACTGGATGTGGAGGTTCAATGGGAGCTATTGGTGGTCTGGTACGTGGTAACAAGGGGTTGGGGTTCAGGGCTGATCTCTTGGTGGACGGTTGGAGAACAGTGGATGTGAGGTTCTAGAGTGAGTGATTTTTTGGTTAGAGGTACAGGGGATGTGGAGGTTTCAGGGCTGAAAAGGCTGAATTGGTGCTGGTTCAGGAAGTGGGGATTGAAGTTCAGGGCTTGAAGGGCTGATTTGGTGGACTGGTAGTAGGTAACAGTGGGGATGTGGAGGTTCAGGGCTGAAGGCTGATTTGGTGGTCTGGTTAGGGAGGTAACAGTGGGGATGTGGAGGTTCAGGGCTGAATGCTGTTTTGGTGGTCTGGTTAGGGAGGTAACAGTGGGGATGTGGAGGTTCAGGGCTGAAGGCTGATTTGGTGGACTGGTTAGGGAGGTAACAGTGGGGATGTGGAGGTTCAGGGCTGAAGGCTGATTTGGTGGACTGGTTAGGGATGTAACAGTGGGGATGTGGAGGTTCAGGGCTGAAGGCTGATTTGGTGGTCTGGTTAGGGATGTAACAGTGGGGATGTGGAGGTTCAGGGCTGAAGGCTGATTTGGTGGTCTGGTTAGGTAGGTAACAGTGGGGATGTGGAGGTTCAGGGCTGAAGGTTGATTTGGTGGTCTGGTTAGGTAGGTAACAGTGGGGATGTGGAGGTTCAGGGCTGAAATCTGATTTGGTGGTCTGGTTAGGTAGGTAACAGTGGGGATGTGGAGGTTCAGGGCTGAAGGCTGATTTGGTGGACTGGTTAGGGAGGTAACAGTGGGGATGTGGAGGTTCAGGGCTGAAGGCTGATTTGGTGGACTGGTTAGGGAGGTAACAGTGGGGATGTGGAGGTTCAGGGCTGAAGGCTGATTTGGTGGACTGGTTAGGGAGGTAACAGTGGGGATGTGGAGGTTCAGGGCTGAAGGCTGATTTGGTGGACTGGTTAGGGATGTAACAGTGGGGATGTGGAGGTTCAGGGCTGAAGGCTGATTTGGTGGTCTGGTTAGGGATGTAACAGTGGGGATGTGGAGGTTCAGGGCTGAAGGCTGATTTGGTGGTCTGGTTAGGTAGGTAACAGTGGGGATGTGGAGGTTCAGGGCTGAAGGTTGATTTGGTGGTCTGGTTAGGTAGGTAACAGTGGGGATGTGGAGGTTCAGGGCTGAAATCTGATTTGGTGGTCTGGTTAGGTAGGTAACAGTGGGGATGTGGAGGTTCAGGGCTGAAGGCTGATTTGGTGGACTGGTTAGGGAGGTAACAGTGGGGATGTGGAGGTTCAGGGCTGAAGGCTGATTTGGTGGACTGGTTAGGGAGGTAACAGTGGGGATGTGGAGGTTCAGGGCTGAAGGCTGATTTGGTGGACTGGTTAGGGATGTAACAGTGGGGATGTGGAGGTTCAGGGCTGAAGGCTGTTTTGGTGGACTGGTTAGGGATGTAACAGTGGGGATGTGGAGGTTCAGGGCTGAAGGCTGATTTGGTGGTCTGGTTAGGTAGGTAACAGTGGGGATGTGGAGGTTCAGGGCTGAAATCTGATTTGGTGGTCTGGTTAGGTAGGTAACAGTGGGGATGTGGAGGTTCAGGGCTGAAGGCTGATTTGGTGGACTGGTTAGGGAGGTAACAGTGGGGATGTGGAGGTTCAGGGCTGAAGGCTGATTTGGTGGACTGGTTAGGGAGGTAACAGTGGGGATGTGGAGGTTCAGGGCTGAAGGCTGATTTGGTGGACTGGTTAGTGAGATAACAGTGGGGATGTGGAGGTTAAGGGCTGAAGGCTGATTTGGTGGTCTGGTAAGGGAGGTAACAGTGGGGATGTGGAGGTTTAGGGCTGAAGGCTGATTCGGTGGTCTGGTAAGGTAGGTAACAGTGGGGATGTGGAGGTTTAGGGCTGAAGTCTGATTTGGTGGTCTGGTAAGGGAGGTAACAGTGGGGATGTGGAGGTTCAGGGCTGAAGGCTGATTTGGTGGACTGGTTAGGGAGGTAACAGTGGGGATGTGGAGGTTTAGGGCTGAAGGCTGATTTGGTGGTCTGGTAAGGGAGGTAACAGTGGGGATACCAGACCCACCTCCCTCAGCTGTTCAAGTTTCTCCAGAGTCTCCTTGGTGTCAAACTGCCACTCTTTCACCTGCTCCACTGCTGTAAATCCCTCCTGAAACACACAGACACATGCATGACTGAACAAACAGTTACACACGGACGCAAAAATACACATTTGAATAGAAAATGTCAATGCCAACCTCCAGTTTTATTTGAGAAGATGTGATACTCACATGGTTTTTGAGCCTGGTGTCAGCCCCTCCAACAATGAGCAGCTTGAGTATCTTATATCTGCCCAGGCGCACAGCATCATGCAGCGGAGTGTCCCCCTCCTGGAATACACAATTACAATACTACACTATGAGGACCAGGAAGATAATGAGGACAATATGAGGACAACCAAGATAATGTTGAGCCATATCGTAACAATGATGTTTGTTTATTGTATTTCACCAAAACTGACTTACAATATCATATTAGACCAGGTATGATGCAGTGAGAAAGCATGACATCCTACCCTGTCTCTGGCGTTGATTTTTGCTCCGCTGTTCAGCAGGTATCCCACTACATCAGCATGGCCTGTCCTGGTGGCCACATGGAGAGGGCTGGCCATCAGCTATGGAGAGAGGGAGAGAGAGAGATAGAGCGAGAGAGAGAGAGAGAGAGAGAGAGAGAGAGAGAGAGAGAGAGAGAGAGAGAGAGAGAGAGAGAGAGAGAGTGAGTTAGAGCCACCATGGGCACATCTCTCCTCATCTCCTCTTCGTGAAAGACGTTGCAGATAACAATTCCTTGTAGCTGAAATCTTCCCAATTCTACATGTCAAAGGACAGAGAAACATGTCTGTTCTTAATATATCTGAACCCCACTGAGGACAACCCTGGACTGGTGAAATGATAAGGCTATGGGTAGATGGCCATTCTATTAGCTGGGTAACTCCATAATGAACGAAATGTCAGTAGCTATAGTCGCACAAATGCATCATGACACACCCACCCACGTCTCACCTTGTCTCTGATGTTGAGGTCAGCTCCATGTTTCTGGAGGACCTTGATGACTGCCAGGCTTCCTCCTCTACAGGCCCAGTGAACAGCTCTGGACTCCAGCTGGAACACACACAACATGGCCGCCTTCACTCTACAATGTCTGAGGCTTAACAACTGATTCATCACTAGCTTTCCATTCCACAGCCCTAACCTAATCAATTATCCATTTATGAGCACAATACTTGAGGTTATATAGAGGTTACATCTAAGAGGTTAGGTCACATACTGTACGTGTGATAAAAAATAGTCAATTTGTTCCCTAGTATTGGAGTTAAAAACACAATTATGTCAATTATGTCATTTCACAGCTTTTATCATTGACTATAGAACATACAGTAGTAATGGCAAGAGTCTCTCACCCGATCTTTAGAATTGACGTTAGCTCCTTTCTCTAGAAGCTTCTGGACAACGGTAGAGTGTCCTTCGATGGAGGCAAAGTGCAGTGCTGTCCTCCTTAACTGGAAAAATATTTAGTTATGTAAGACTGTTAAAATTATATTTGTCTGAGGTTAAAGGTACAATTTTTTATTTTTTGTATTGTGTGCTACTTCTACAGTACTGCAAGGCCATGGCAGATAGCTAGGCCACAATCATTTCAATTTACAGTTGAAATGAACTTTGAACTATTGAGGCCAGATCTTTCAACAAGTAAATAAATATATTTTGTGAAGTATACCCAGCGCCCTGTGTTTTGGTTAATCATGTCACATGACCTGGATTTTAACCTTTATTTTAAGCCTTTTCCAGACATGAGAATTAGATCAAAAATGAAAGCAATTGTCTGAGGATGGTGCTGGACCATGTGACATTAAAGGAAAAGTGGTCAGTTTGATGAAAAAGCTTAATAAAGGTTACAATCCAGATCATGTGACATGATTAACCAAAACACAGGTCCTAAGTAGACCATATACCATAGAGACTAATACTTACCTGATCACTGAAGTTGGGGTCTCCTCCATCTTCCAGATATTTCTCCACCACTTTGAGTTTACCCTGAGTCACTGCCTTCATGAAGTCAAACGTGTCTACAGGTCCTAACTGACCAACACAAACACACAGACTCTCTGGGACTTATCAACTGATCCAGCAAACCCTGGTCCCACTCTTAAAAATGACAATCAGAGTATTCTGCATTGTTCCGGTCATCATTTATACATAAAACTGGAAATCTGAAAGATAAATATTGCTCCAAAAAATATATATATATGTTGCCTCACCACAGGCACGTCCACAGCCACCTTGGATGAGGACCGAGTCTTCTTCTTCAACTTCCTCCTCTGGCAGATCTCCTGGATGCTCTCTGGTCCACCCTGATCAACTATCTCCCCCTCTGAAAATGAATTCCTCTCTCTGTCCTCTGCCTAGGGGAGACAAGATGACAGACTGACTCAGAATCAGCTCTCATTACCACAGTTAGTTATCTGCTGCAGTTGAGTTCAGTTACAGTATCTCTCCTCTCTCTCTCTCTCGCTCTCTCTGTCTCTCTCTCTCTCAACAGTTTGACACAACAACATAAAGAATACGACTGCCAAAACACAAGACAGATTACATTTATCGTGGTAGTATATGTAATATTGTCTTAACTATTAAAAGTATTACTATTCACTCATTCTTCATACACCAGCCCTAGAGTATGGTATGAGTGACTGGCATCCCTTCCTTTATTCTGGGTCTGGTGTAAACTAACAGCTGTTTGAACAGTAGCTAGCCAACACCTGATTTACTACAGGGCATAGAAGGGGCGAGGGTGTGAGAGGGTCAGGGTGCCTGTAAAAGCAGAGATGCCAGGGGCTCATGTTGAAGTGGCTAATGCCCAGATACATTCATAGCATGGTAACCTCATAGCCTGGTTGTGATCATAAACGAGCACATGCTTTCAACAAAATATCTGGTAATAGAGCAATGTTGTTGGCAATAACCAACCTTGGGGAAATATAAACAGCCTCTTGAGATAGATGTGAGTAGGTTGTGTGTAAAATAAAGGTGAATATAATTAAATATTGTCTCAATAACAAGCCTGGTAAAAGAGAGCTAAATAAAATGTATTGACAATAAACTATTGCTGGATATAGAATGTAGGATTCACAGACTATAATGTAACTGAGGGTGAATACATAACCAAATGTCACGATCGTTGAACGGAGTAGATCGTTGAACATACTTTATTATCGATAGTGATAACAAGAACAAAACAATAAACGATAACGTGACGTCCTAGGTTAAACACAACCAACACGGAACAAACCAAAAGGAACAAGATCCCACAACTACTGTGGGTAAACTGGCTGCTTAAGTATGGCTCCCAATCAGAGACAACAAGCAACAGCTGATACTCGTTGCCTCTGATTGAGAACCACACTGGCCAACATAGAAAACACAACTCTAGAATACCGACATAGAACAAGAACACATAGAATCTACACACCCTGGCTCAACATATAGAGTCCCCAGAGCCAGGGTGTGACAGTACCCCCCCCCCCAAAGGCGCGGACTGCGACCGCGCCTCAACCTAAACCAAACAGGGGAGGGCTGGGTGGGCATTCCTCCTCGGAGGCGGTTCCGGCTCCGGGCTTGCCCACCACCCTCCAATAATCCCCCCGTAGCGCCCCTGGTCCGGTCTGGCCCCGCTGGCTGGAGCTGGACTGGACATCGTAGGAGCGGATTGCTTAAGCTCCGGTGTCGAGCAGCTGACCGGTACCCGACCAGGCACCGGTGACCCAGGCACGGGTCGTGCCGGACTGACGACGCGCACCCTTGGCTTGGTGCGTGGAGCAGGAACGGGCCGGACCGGGCTGACGATGCGCACCCCTGGCTTGGTGCGTGGAGCAGCAACGGGCCGGACCGGGCTGACGATGCGCACCCATGGCTTGGTGCGTGGAGCAGGAACGGGCCGGACCGGGCTGACGATGCGCACCCCTGGCTTGGTGCGTGGAGCAGCAACGGGCCGGACCGGGCTGACGATGCGCACCCCTGGCTTGGTGCGTGGAGCCGGAACTGGCCGTACCGGGCTGACGATGCGCACCCCTGGCTTGGTGCGTGGAGCAGGAATGGGCCTTACCGGGCTGACGACTCGCACCCCTGGCTTGGTGCGTGGAGCAGGAACGGGCCTTACCGGGCTGACGACTCGCACCCCAGGCTTGGTGCGAGTGGCAGGAACAGGCCGGGCCGGGCTGGCGACGCGCACCGTAGGCTTGGTGCGAGTGGCAGGAACAGGCCGGGCTGGGCTGGCGACGCGCACCGTAGGCTTGGTGCGAGTGGCAGGAACAGGCCGGGCCGGGCTGGCGACGCGCACCGTAGGCTTGGTGCGAGTGACAGGAACAGGCCGGGCCGGGCTGGCGATGCGCACCGTAGGCTTGGTGCGAGGGGCAGGAACAGGCCGGGCCGGGCTGGCGACGCGCACCGCAGGCTTGGTGCGAAGGGCAGGAACAGGCCGGGCCGCGCTGGCGACGCGCACCGTAGGCTTGGTGCGAGTGGCAGGAACAGGCCGGGCCGGGCTGGCGACGCGCACTGGAGGCTTGGTGCGAGGAGCAGGAACAGGCCGGGCCGGGCTGTGGAAACGGATAGGAGACCTGGAGTGAAGAGCTGCCACAACCCGTCCTGGCTGAATGCCTACCTTCACACACTCTGTGTGAGGCATCAGCACAGGACGTACAGGGCTGTGTACCCGTACTGGCATAACAGCACGTGACACGCGCAGGATATCCGGGACCGAGGAGAGGCACTGGAGGCCACGAGCGCTGAGCCGGCACACTCCGTCCTGGCTGCATGCCCACCTTCGCACGACACCAGTCGTGGCACAGTACGCAGCTCCGCATACCCCGGAACCTGCCCAGTCTCATGCTGCCATGCCTGAGTACGGGGAGTTGGCTCTGCTCTCCATCCAGGCTCCGCCAACCTGCCTTCTGGCCCCCCAAACCCGGTGGCCTCCTCTCCTAATCTCCCAATACGCCCCGTGGCAGCCTCCTGCTGCCCCGTCGCCCATGCCGTGTGCCCCCCCCTAAAAAATTATTGGGGTTGCCTCTCGTCCGTCCGACGACGACACTGTTGACGCCGTTGCTCCTCTCTTGCCAGGGCCTTAACCTTAGCCCATGGCCCTTTTCCCCCGAGCATGTCCTCCCAGGGCCATCGCATGTCCTCCCAGGCCCACCTGGGCCATCGCCAACCTCTCCAGCTCCTTACCCGGTGCTTCCTCCCATGTCCAGGCTGCCTGCTCCTGGACACGCTGCTTGGTCCTGGTATGGTGGGATCTTCTGTCACGATCGTTGAACGGAGTAGACCAAGGCGCAGCGTGATGAACGAACATACTTTATTATCGATAGTGATAACAAGAACAAAACGATAACGTGACGTCCTAGGTTAAACACAACCAACACGGAACAAACCAAAAGGAACAAGATCCCACAACTACTGTGGGTAAACTGGCTGCTTAAGTATGGCTCCCAATCAGAGACAACAAGCAACAGCTGATACTCGTTGCCTCTGATTGAGAACCACACTGGCCAACATAGAAAACACAACTCTAGAATACCGACATAGAACAAGAACACATAGAATCTACACACCCTGGCTCAACATATAGAGTCCCCAGAGCCAGGGTGTGACACCAAATGTATGAGCAGTTTACTTATTTTTCCTTTTACTTTACCTGGATGCTTTCAACGTTGTGATTGGTGGGTTCACTGCCTGGTTCTTCCTGTTCAGGTGTGTCCCACTTTATATGTTCAGGTGTGTCCCCCCATACTCCTGAGTGGCGCAGTGGTCTAAGGCACTGCATCGCAGTGCTAACTGTGTCACTAGAGATCCTGGTTCGAATCCAGGCTCTGTCGCAGCCGGCCGCGACCGGGAGACTCATGGGCGGCGCACAATTGGCCCAGCGTCGTCCAGGGTAGGGGAGGGAATGGCCGGCAGGGATGTAGCTCAGTTGATAGAGCATGGCGTTTGCAACGCCAGGGTTGTGGGTTCGATTCCCACAGGGGGCCAGTATAAAAAAAATATATATGTAAGTCGCTCTGGATAAGAGCGTCTGCTAAATGACTAAAATGTAAAATGTAAATGTAAATGTATATGTCCCAGCTTCATCGCTCGCGCTCTGCGACGCTGGTTAATAACATATCAATTATATTCAAATCGTAACTCTATCTAAAGTGAATTGAAAAACACACCTTAATATACTTTACAATTAAAACAGAAATGCAAAAATAGAAAGCCAAGCAAAATATTATTTTCCATTTGTAGAAAACTGGCGTAATCCTTCTGTGCCTGCAGTAAGAGTACTTATGTTTACAGTTTTTTAAAATTGCTTTGGTACTATTTTCACAAGTATGTGGTGAATTTTAAAAACTGTTCGCACAAAACTCCAAACTGGCAACACTTGTAAAGCAGCCAGTTTTACATTCAAAACCTTTCATTGTGCATCCATTTTGTTTGCAGACATCTTTCACCACACAACCATTGATCCAAAATATGTTTGCTGTGAAATATAATGAGTAGATTGGTTTAATCACCAAAACACAACATAACGATAATGATTTAGTTATTTTAACAACCAGCTAATCCAATAGCAAAAAATGTAAGATACATGTTTAAAAATTGCCCTTTGAATGTATTAAGCTACAGCTACAGTACAGTACATTACACTGTTTTCACATTAGGCAATACACTACCCATTACAATTGACTAAACATGACATTTCCATAATTTCTATCCCATGTGCGATCAAAGGTGTGATCATTGAAACATATTTCACAATGTAATCAAATGAAAGAAATGAATGAAACATCATGTTTAGCAGCACTAGTTTGAATCAAGCCTGTCTTGATCATTTGGCCATAGGTTCTCATCGAAACCACAGTAAATATCTTAATTGTTCATGCTCCTGGGGGAAAAAACCTTTTGGAATGGCGAATCCAAGCCTGACATAGGTCTGGATTGATGTCATTGCATGCCTCATTCATGGCCTGAAGGAGGGTGGTGCGGTCATTGGGATGGCAATCATACACCTTCCAACTGTAACGTAATCATGTATTGTATTTTACAGTTTTGTATTGTAGTGGTCCTGTGTGGCTCAGTTAGTAAGAGCATGGCACTAGCAACACCAGTGTTGTGGGTTCGATTCCCACTGGGGTCACATACCAAAATGTGTGGACTGACTGTTGTCACTTTGGATAAAAGTGTCTGCTACGTAAATGGCATATACTACTGTATTGGTCATTATTACAGTACTGTATTGGCCTTTGTTAAAGTACTGTATTGGCCAATGACATTTTAGTAAAGCAGTGTGAAACCTCCCCATCAAAAACACCCCAGATACATGTTTACTGTATAGGGATGCATTTCTTTCTTGTTTTGGAATTTCTGGATTATTTTCGCATCGGTATTGTATTTGTAAAGTGGTTATCCCACTGGCTATAGGGTGAATGCACCAATTTGTGAGTCGCTCTGGATAAGAGCGTCTGCTAAATGACGTAAATGTGCCCTTGAGCAAGGCACTTAACCCTAATTGCTCCTGTAAGTCGCTCTGGATAAGAGCGTCTGCTAAATGACTAAAATGTAAATGTAAATGTAAATGTATTTATTTATCCACTGTAGGAGCTAGAAATACAGGCATTTCACTGCACCTGCTGTAACATCTACTAATCTGTGTACACGACCAGTAAACTTTGATTTGATTTGTTACATCCAGTACATCTCTGATCTTGTCAATAACAGATATTTTTTTACATTTACTGTGAAGTCAAATCATAATAGTCATCATCATAGTAGTACATTCAGGTATATTTATTACACTTTTTATGTTTCTACTTTACAGACGTACATTTTCATTATGTAGTTCTCAAAATCTGTAGTAGACAAACCAGTTTAAATGTAAAATCTATAGGTTTACCAAACGTTTAAGTGACGATCAATAAAGAGCAGTCGGATTAAGTAATAGTAAAATGTATTTTAACAAAAGAGAAGAGAATCATATCAAAAGTAATGTGAGCATTGCATTGTGAAAGACAATTACTTCATATGAACATGTATGCAATGTAAAACATGTATTTCTAGATGACACTGATTGAGTTTGTGAAAAAGTTACTGTATGATTTTGTGTATTATACTTAGTCAATTGAAGATGTGCTTAGACTTTTGAAACAACTGCCTGTCTGATGATGTGTTTTGTGTTTTGTACTAAGAGTTGTGAAAATGTACAGCATACTTGTGAATATTGCACTAAAGCAGGGGTGTCAAACGTACGGCCCGCGGGCCGGATCAGGCCCGCAAACGGGTTTAATCCGGCCCGCGAGATGATTAAAAAAAAAAAAAAAATAATAATAATAATAATAATATATTTTTTTTAAGTATAAAAATGCGCTGCAATTTTTCAACAAAATAAACTGCTGTTCCAATTGCGTCCACTGGATGGCGCAATAGAAATTATGTTAAGCAAGCAAACTGTTTATACCGGGGCAGAGCAAGTAGGTCAAGCACGTGCAGCCAATGAGCTACTTTGTTTTGCCCGCGATATTTATTACGGCTTCTACTTTTAACATTATGTGCTTTGGCACCCTCATTGCCCCAATATGTCTCTGTCAAAAAAGAGAAAAGTGGACGCAGAGTGCAGAGTGTTCCAAGAAAAATGGTCATCCTATTTAATCACGGAATTGAATGGGAAAGCTGTATGTTTGGTGTGTTCAGAGCATGTTGCAGTGCTGAAAGAATATAACCTTCGTCGCCACTATGTGAGTCTTCATGCCGACAAATATGACAACTTTCAAGGACAGCGGAGATGAGAGAAGGTGAATGAACTGTTGGCGGGTCTGAAGAAACAGCAGTCTGTGTTTACTCACAGCCGAGACATCAGTGACGCTGCAGTGAAAGCTAGCTACCTCATTGCTAATGAAATCGCAGTGGCTTCAAAACCATTTAGTGACGGTGAATTTGTAAAAACATGCATGATGAAGGCAGCGGAGATTGTGTGCCCTGAAAAGCGGCAGGCTTTTGCAAATATCAGCCTGACAAGAAATACAGTTGCAGACAGGATTTCCGATCTTTCAGTGGATTTGGACAGCCAGTTGAAGCAAAAAGTAAAGTCATTTATTGCGTTTTCGGTTGCAATTGATGAAAGCACGGACATTACAGATGTTGCACAACTGGCCATTTTTTCATCCGCGGAGTTGATGACACATTGACCATCACCGAGGAGTTCGTGGAGTTGGTGCCGATGACAGATACAACGACAGCAGCTGATATTTTTACCGCACTCGTCGGCGCGCTGGACAGGGTCGGAGTGGACTGGTCCCGCGCTTTCAGCCTGGCTACAGATGGTGCGCCCTCAATGATCGGGAAAAAAGCAGGCGTTGTGACAAAGTTCAGAGAGAAAGTGCAATCTGCAAATGGAGGACGTGATTTTTTTACTTTTCACTGTATTTTGCACCAGGAGGCTTTGTGTTGCAAGTCATTAAAGATGGATAACGTCATGAAGGTGGTATTCCAAACTGTTAATTTCATCCGATCCAGAAGCCTGAATCACCGTCAGTTTGACAGCCTTCTCAGAGAGAAAGACCACATCTATGGCCTGCCATACCACACTGAGGTAAGATGGTTAAGCCGAGGTGCTGTGCTGAGGCGTTTCTTTGATTTACGAGAAGAAATTGAACAGTTCATGGAAGAAAAGGGCAAACCAGGGTTAGAATTTCATTCCGCAGAATGGATGCCGGACCTTGCATTTATGGTGGATGTTACAGAGCACCTGAATAACTTGAACAAACAGCTGCAAGGGCGCAACAAAGTTGTCACGCAGTATTATGACAGCATACGTTCTTTCAAGTTGAAGCTGTCATTGTGGGAGACGCAACTTGCCGGTGGTGATGCAGCTCACTTCCCCTGTCTGAAAAAATGTGTGCGCGACCCAACATGTGGCAGACATGAAGCGGTTCAAAGATAAAATAACTGGACTGTTACGGGAGTTTGAGCAACGCTTTCAGATTTATGTTTATATGTTTTTATGTTGATGTGCTATTGTTTTTAATTGATTTTATTTGTATATTTAACCTATTATTGACTCTGTGGTTCTTGCACTTGTTTGGGGAACAGGATTTCATTATTTTTATCTACATTTCTGCCTGAGAAATGACACCCTGATATAGTTCTGTGATCTGTGAAACAGTTCTGTTAATCACTGAGGCATTGTGTGTTTGTGTGTTCTTTTTCTTTAGAATTTTCAAATAAACTTGACGTGTTTTATGATTAATAGTGATGTTGTGCTTGTACTATTTTGGACACACTGTCCTCAGGCTCCAGCTTTATGATGTATGTTGATCGTATTAAAACAAAGAAAACAATCTGAAGTTGTTGTTTTTAAGTTATATATACCATGATTTTTCCGGTCCGGCCCACTTGGGAATAGATTTTCCTCCATGTGGCCCCTGAGCTAAAATGAGTTTGACACCCCTGCACTAAAGTGATAAAAAAAAACTGTAACATGAGATTAGTGGTTGTATTCTGAATATAATTTATAACTAACAAGCTAATTGCCCTCTAGTGCTGAACTGCTGGTTGTAAGAAAGTGTAAATTAAGTCATTAATTAAAATCTGTGAATCCCAAATAAGCCCTAGGTGTTGTCTGCTTGTAGAGGAAGGAAATATTTAACTTTGATCCCTCCCTGGAGGCAGTATCAAACCTGTTGAGGGGCATGGATCATAGAGGAATCTACTAGAACACCTGCCCATTCAATATAATGTATTTTTGCATGGAATATTTAAATTAATCATTGCAAACTGAAATGTTGATATTAGAATGGTGAAACATGAACAAATATAGACCAAAATCCTGAAGTAAAATCCTTGCAGACACCATGGCATACAAATGTCTATGAAAGTCTATGAAACAAAATACATGTATAATCAAGGACATTACTTTATTTATAATTAAGAAATTACTTGATTTCATGTATTAGTTGTAAAGATGTAGCAATGTACTATAGATAGGCTGCAGTCGGTTTTCTTTGGTGGTAGCTTACATCGGGTACTGTAGGTCAGATGTCAGAGGTCAGGCTGTTAAGTTAATAAGCTGTAAACTATTTCAGAAGCAGCAAAGGGTCTCGTGGTTATAGATACCTCAGATAACTGTAGGTCACACCAGGGGGAGAACTGCCTCCTCTCATTGAAGCCATGAAGTTCATGGCTGACCGAAGAACTGCAGCCTGTTGTTTGCAGAAAGCAGGCTCCCCCAATATAGGGAATGGGAAAATGGCAATCTTCATGGTCAATATTTGTGTGAATAAAATAAAAATCAGAAGACAGTCACGGTATCAGTAATTGCTTCTACACCAGATGTATGTCCTTGAACCGATTACTTTAAAATTGCACACAGAAGAAGTTATAAAGATAATTTTGTTGCTACCGGCAGCCTGCAGTCCGCGGTCGGCCTTCAACTTGAGATACTTGAGAGGGGACAGTCGTTCTCCCCTGGTCGCAGCCTGCTATGTCACTTCCTGAAGTAGCACAAACTGCGCATTTTATGTCATTTTATGTCCCCCCCCGGAAGAGACGCCATCTTAGCAAGCTAAAACCGACTTCCTGAGCTTTAAATGCGCCATTGAGTCTTCACATAGGAATGAATGGTGTGATGTCATTGATGGCTTTGTCCATTCTTATACAGTCAATGGGTCACACAGTCACAGCAAAGGCTAGCTCAGGTCACTCAACCTCACACACGATTAACACCAGCTAGTGCAAGTGTGTGTATGTGTGGGTGTGTGTACACGTGTGTGTCTATGTTAATATGTACAGTAGGATATGTGATTGTTTTAAAGGCCCAGAGATTTTCCTGTGAGGTTGAAATAATACTGTGAAATTGTGAAAATTATGATAAAGCCCTTTCAATGTAAGAGCTATAGAACGCCTGAAATTTCTGCCTGTTTTGGTGGGAGGGAGTTTTGGCCTTCCATGGTGACATCACCATGCTGTAAATTAGTTAATAGACCAATAAGAAAGAGTTCCAAACCTCTCTGCCAATAACAGATCATTTTCAGTTTTCCCCTCCTCACTCAGACCACTCCCAGACAGTCCTAGCATAATTATTGCTTGAGAAATTTTCCAAGAAGCTATTTGTTAAGAAGCTATTTTTGTTTATTTTTGACCATTTTAGTTGAAACAGTAAGGTACTTAATCAAAATCAAATCAAATGTTATTGGTCACATACACATATTTAGCAGATGTTATTGCGGGTGTAGAGAAATTCTTGTACATTGTTACCCCAAAATGATTTGATATTGAGATAAAAAAACAGCTGCATTTAAATACATTTAGCAGACGCTCTTATCCAGAGCAATTAGGGTTAAGTGCCTTGCTCAAGGTCACATCAACAGATTTTTCACCTAGTTGGCTCGGGGATTAGAACCAGCAACCTTTCGGTTACTGGCGCAATGCTCTTAACCACTAAGCTACCTGCCGCCCCATACTCATCTATGGCTAAATATGATGGCATTATTTGAGCTCTAAGGCAACTTTCTCAATGTAAAACATTTGTCTATTATGTAATGAATTGGATTCAGCCTTGATGCTCTCATCCACCTTCATTAGAACCTTGGTTAGGAAAAGGTCTGAGGCATAGCCTTGCAGGAAAGTGTCCCACTAGCCAATAGAGTGCTCCCTTTGCTTTGTTTTCCTGGATAGTCACCCGTTGAAGTGTCCTGGGGTAAGGAATGTGTTTTTTAATACACCATTGTTGTTTATGATAACGCAATGACATGTTACCCATTTACCAGTAGAATGCATCTTGAATTTAAAACATGATAAATAAGTGATCATTTCCCCCTACCTCAGATTTCTTGTGATCCAGTTCTGCTTTCACATTGGTAGTCCACTGCACATCCTCCTCCATACTGGGGTGTTCGTTCAGGGTTGAAATGGAAACAAAACAACAGAAACACAACCTGTGGTTGAAACAACTTCACAATCCTCACTTCCAATCTATATCTAACAGTTCTAACAGCTGAATAGCAAACAGATTGTCTGTCTAAACATCAGTCTGCCTGCTCAGGGGACCGGTTGGTTACCAGCTGTGATGTGGCAGTCCGGGTGGTCTTATACTTCCTGATTGGAATGCCAGGCTCACGAGGGGCATTGTGAAACCCTAGTAGACAGGTCTACTACTGTGTGTGTGTGTGTGTGTATGTATGCGTGTATGCTTGTGACCCCCCCCCTTACACACACACACGCTCTGGAGTCATGAGCACAGGGTGCATTCATTCCACAAGCTCTTACTTTTACGCACAGCCCCTGTGCCAGCCCTGTTAGCTGTCGTTTTACTAGGCCTCCAGACTCCAGGCCTGTAAACACACAGTTTTGGAGGATTACGTTATTTATAAGTAAGTCAAGTGATACCTTGTAAATATCTGCAAGGCTCATACCGTGAAGCAACCAATCAGAGACCGGCGCCGCGGTTTGACACAAATATCAGTAGATTTATCAGTCTATAACAAAAGCGTTTGTATGTTACAAATGTTGTTCACAGTTCCCCGACCCCCATCCATACCCCCCCCCCCCCCCCCCCCCCCCCCCCCCCCCCCCCCACACACACACACACACACACACACTCACACACACACACACTGTCACATCTACACCTTTGAAAAGCAGTTGATAGGAAAGGTCAGGGTACCATAGTGAGTAGGCCACCACCAGAGCATGCTACTTATCTGAGCTCTAATAAATGTGTGATCCAACAGGATGAGTCATGATGATTGATATAAATCTCAGGTTAAGAGGACATTAGAGAGCAGCAAATAAATATAGTTATTACTTAGGCTGGGTGTGTGTGACATCATCAGAACACATTACAAGCCTCAATACACGCACACACACACACACACACTGGCTGTTGTTCCTGTGAGACTGACTGTTACTGTTTAACAGCAGGTGAATGATTCATTTTCAGTTAGGGAGGAGAAGGCAGAGTTCACAGGTGCATAAACAGCATAACACTCTCTCTGACACAGATCTAGAATCAGCTCACCTTCACCCTAATCTTAACGTTTACCACAAGTAGTACAAATGCAAAACTGACCTTAGATCAGCAGTTAGGGACATATTCAGTCTAGTGTAATAGCAGTCTAGCTTGGCAGCCATTTTAGCTGATTAGAGTCATTTGCCTTCTTGTCGTCACTAGAGCATGGAGGACAGAAGATGAACACTACGGAGACTGCTGTCTACAGACTTTCTCTAACATCTCTGAGCCCCTAGTCTTTAGGTAGGTATTTTTGTTCAATTTTTCTTATGTACAATCTTTTGAATTGATCTATTCAACCTTTATTTAGCCAAGTTTGTCACTGAGATATGTCATTGTTAAGTTGTCTAGTGGCTGTGTGGAGTTAGCTAGCAACAGCAACCTTCAGTCAAATAAAATAAAATGTTATTTGTCACATGCGCCGACTAACACAGCTGAAGACCTTACCGTGAAATGCTTACTTACAAGCCCCTAACCAACAATTCAGTTCAAGAAATAGAGTTAAGAAAATATTTACTAAATAAACGAATGTCAAAAATAATAAAAAGTAACACAATAAAATGACATTAACAAGGCTATATACAAGGGGTACTGGTACCGAGTCAATGTGCAGGTTAGTCAAGGTAATTTGTAGGTAGGGGTAAAGTGACTATGCATAGATAATAAACAGTGAGTAGCAGCAGTGTAAAACCAAAGGGGGGGGGGGGGGGGGGGGGGGTAAATGTAAATAGTCCGGGTGGCCATTTTATTAATTGTTCAGCAGTCTTATGGCTTGGGGGTAGAAGCTGTTAAGGAGCCTTTTGGACCTAGACTTGGCGCTCCGGTACCGCTTGCCGTACGGTAGCAGAGTCTATGACTTGGGTGACTGGAGTCTTTGGCAATTTTTTGGGCAATGCTCTGACACCACCTAGTATATACAGTAGGTCCTGGATGGCAGGAAGCTTGGCCCCAGTGATGTACTGGGCCATACGCACTACCCTCTGTAGCGCCTTACAGTCGGATGCCGAGCAGTTGCCATACCAGGTGGTGATGCAACCAGTCAGGATGCTCTCGTTGGTGCATCTGTATAACTTTTTGAGGATCTGGGGACCCATGCCAAATCTTTCCAGTCTCCTGAGAGTGAAAAGGTGTTCTCTTGCCCTCTTCACGACTGGCTTGGTGTGTTTGAACCATAATAGTTTGTTGGTGATGTGGACACCAAGGAGCATGAAACTCTCGACCCGCTCCACTACAGCCCCGTCGATGTGAATGGGGGCGTGTTCGGCCCTCCTTTTCCTGTAGTCCACGATCAGCTCCTTTGTCTTGCCTACCACTGTTGTGTCATCATCAAACTTAATGATGGTGTTGGAGTCGTGCTTGGCCACGCAGTCGTGGTTTAACAGGGAGTACAGGAGGGGACTAAGCACGCAATCCTGAGGGGCTCCCCTGTTGAGGATCAGTGTGGCAGATGTGTTGTTGCCTACCCTTAACACCTGGGGGCGTCCCGTCAGGAAGTTCAGGATCCAGTTGCAGAGGGAGGTGTTTAGTCCCAGGGTCCTTAGCTTAGTGATGAGCTTTGTGGGCACTATGGTGTTGACCGCTGAGCTGTAGTCAATGAACAGCATTCTCACATAGGTGTTCCTTTTTTCCAGGTGTGAAAGGGCAGTGTAGAGTGCGATTGAGATTGCGTCATCTGTGGATCTGTTGGGGCGGTATGCGAATTGGAATGGGTCTAGGGTTTCCGGGATGATGGTGTTGATGTGAGCCATGACCAGCCTTTCAAAGCACTTCATGGCTACTGACGTGAGTGCTACAGGGCTGTAGTCATTTAGGCAGGTTACCTTCACTTTCTTGGGCACAGGGACTATGGTGGTCTGCTTGAAACATCTAGGTATTACAGACAAACATCAACCTATTACAGTGAAGACACTTGCCAGTTGGTCCGCGCATGCTCTGAGTACACTTCCTGGTAATCCGTCTGGCCCCGCAGCGTTGTGAATGTTGACCTGTTTAAAGGTCTTGCTCACATCGGCTACGGAGAGCGTGATCACACTGTCGTCCGGAACAGCTGGTGCTCTCATGCATGCTTCAGTGTTGCTTGCCTCAAAGCGTGCTAAAAGGCATTTAGCTCGTCCGGTAGGCTTGCGTCACTGGGCAGCTTGCAGCTGTGTTTCCCTTTATAGTCTGTAATAGTTTGCAAGCCCTGCCACATCCGACGAGTGTCAGAGCCTGTGTAGTAGGATTACATTTTAGTCCTGTATTGACACTTTGCCTGTTTGATAGTTCGTCTGAGTGCATAGCAGGATTTCTTATTAGCGTCCGGATTAGTGTCCCGCTCCTTGAAAGCAGCAGCTCTAGCCTTTAGCTCGAGCGGATGTTGCCTATAATCCACGGCTTCTGGTTGGGATATTTACGTACGGTCGCTGTTGGGACGATGTCGTCGATGCACTTATTGATGAAGCCGGTGACTGAGGTGGTATACTCCTCAATGCCATTGGATGAATCCCGGAACATATTCCAGTCTGTGCTAGCAAAACAGTCCTGTAGCGTAGCATCTGTATCATCTGACCACTTCCGTATTGAGCGAGTCACTAGTACTTCCTGCTTTAGTTTTTGCTTGTAAGCAGGAATCAGGAGGATAAAATTATGGTCAGATTTGCCAAACGGAGGGCGAGGTAGATCTTTGCATGTGTCTCTGTGTGTGGAGTAAAGGTGGTCTAGATTTTTTTCTAGTCTGGTTGCATATGTGACATGCTGGTAGAAATGAGGTAAAATGGATTTAAGTTTCCCTGCATGAAAGTCCCCGGCTCGTTGAGTGCTGTCTTAGTGCCAGCATCAGTTTGTAGTGGTAAGTTGACGGCTACGAATAATATAGATGAAAACTATCTTGGTTGATAGTGTGGTCTACAGCACATCATGAGGTCAATGTTCATCAATGTCTTAGTTTGGATAGTTTTCATGGATTTCAGGACAAGCACAGGAGAATAGGATCTCATCCCTAACCTTTCCTGGTGTGACACTAACCCTATAATAATTTGGGGGATGCTTCTATTTGTCCTGTAACGGAAATGCATTTATTGCTCGAGTGGCGCAGTGGTCTAAGGCACTGCATCGCAGTGCTAGCTGTGCCACTAGTGATCCTGGTTTGAGTCCAGGCTCTGTCCCAGCCGGTCGCGACCGGGAGACCCATGGGCGGCGCACAATTGGTCCAGCGTCGTCCAAGGTAGGGGAGGGTTTGGCCGGCAGGGATGTGGGTTTGTTTCCCATGGGGGGCCAGTATAATAAAAAATAAAAGGGGGCACATCAACAGCTTTTTTCGCTTTGTCAGCACTAGGACTCGAACCAACAGCATTTTAGTTACTGGCCCAACACTCTAACCTCAAGGCTACCTGCCACCCCTGCTACCTGGGCACACTCTGGCTGAACCCTAACCCTAGCCACAACTCCAACCTTAATCCTACCTTTCCCTGGTCTGACCCCAGGTCAGCATGGTGACTCTGAAACAGAGTGTGGAGGACCCAGATGACTGCAGCTCTCCTCTGCTGCCTGACGTTGACTTCACTGAGATAACACCTGTTACAGTTACACACAGGAGACCTAGACCTGACACCAGGGAAATGCTACTCAGCAGGTATGGTTCTCTCTGTGTGTGTGTGTGTGTGTGTGTGTGTGTGTGTGTGTGTGTGTGTGTGTGTGTGTGTGTGTGTGTGTGTGTGTGTGTGTGTGTGTGTGTGTGTGTGTGTGTGTGTGTGTGTGTGTGTGTGTGTGTGTGTTTTTGTCATTCACGTATATCCTTTCTATTCCAGGACTAACAACCTAGCTTTGAGTCTGGTGCTGCTGGTAGGATGCTACTCTGCTGTCCTGGTCCCTGCTCTTATACCTTCAGACCCTCTGTCAGGGGCTAACGACAGCCAACACACTGACATGGTACTAAACACACACAAATGCATATGAATACATGTATTTGGTGGTTGTGTGTATTAAACTGCTCTCTTGTAATGAACTGATTTCTCTTACTCTAGTCTGTGCTGTAGGTCTTACAAAACTCCCCCCTCTTCTCTCTCCTCCAGGTCATACTAAACCGCTCTGCCTCCCTGCTTGTGCAGCCCTGCCAGCCAGGCCGGTGTGTGTCTCGTCTCCTCTCCCTGGACTCCTCCTCAGACCTCCAGGACATCCCTGTGTTCCTCCAGCAGGGGGTAGCAGCAGACAGGCCTATTCCCTGGGACCTGCCTCCTCCTCTGGGCCTCCATGGCTGTGACGAGAGTGTGGCTAGGGCCCTGGCCTCTCTAACCCACCCCGGCCTGCCCCCATACCTGGAGGGGAGAGGTGAGAGTGGGTGCTGTAGGAGGTGTGTTGTGGTGGGTAGCGGAGGGGTGCTACATGGCAGCAACCTGGGATCCCATATCGACCAGTATGATGTCATCATCAGGTGAGTGACCAATCAAACAAACAATCAATGTAATTGTAAAAGAAGCACAATTTTTAAAAATCAGATAATATTTTCCAGGACCCCCTACTGTATCACCTAGACGACAATCTGTTTCTGATATTACAACCAATCCCATTTTTAGTTTTCCAGACGGCTAAAGTAAATACATCAAAGCAACCAAACTAACCTCTACAACTTCCTGGTAACTAAGGGGATATACTGGATTTGATTTTGATTGTCTGAAGCTGTGTTTTCCTTCCTCTCCTCTCTTGCCTCCTTCCCCTCCTCTTTCTCCTTCCCCTTCACACTCCTCTCTGTCCTCTCAGGATGAACAACGCCCCAGTGTCAGGGTTTGAGAGGGACGCAGGCTCCAGGACCACCGTCCGTCTGATGTACCCAGAGGGAGCTCCCCTTTCCTCCAGCGAGTACAGACACACCTCCTTGGTTACACTGGTGGTCTTCAAGTGCCTGGACCTGGACTGGCTCACCTCCATCATCACCAAACAGCCTCTGGTGGGAATGTGTTTACTAACTGTTTGTTTTCCTGTTTGTCTGTTTGTTTCCCTGTCAGAGACACAGTGGCTTGAGGAGTTTTAGTGCAGTTTTGCAGACAGAAAATGACTTCCAGAGTAGCTTCTCTACGTTCTGCTGTCCATGGACAGGGTTGGGTAGGTTACTTTCCGTTACAGTTACTACTTACCTGTCCAAGATTTTTATCAGTAACGTAACATTTGGATTACCCAAACATAATCTGAATATTTTCAGTTACTGCATTTGGTATGCTATCATAGTGGTCTCTGACATGTTGTCAGACTCGCTTAGGTGAAACAAACCTAAAGGTCAACTGCACTTCCAGATTTGGCCTTGTTTTTCATCAATGGTCATTAAGAAATGCTAGTGGCCATGAGTTGGGGGTGTGGTTTGATGTGGGTGTTTGTTGGGTGTGTCTTTGCCATTCAATCAAAACCTACAAGGACAGTAGCTAGCCAGTTCGAGTTTAAACATTATTTAATGAAAGCTGCCAACATGCATCAAACATGTCAGGTTTGCTTGATTATGAGCTAGCTAGCTAGCTAATGTTAGCTAGCAGGGATCAAAGCTGTCTTCAGGTTCAACGTTAGCTATGCAAATCTTCCTCTCACGTTATACGTTAAGGAGAGGCTATGTATTTAGCTAGTTACATCAAAGTATCATAGCCTAGTATCCTAGTGGCATAGCCTACCAAAGAATGACATGTAGCTAGCTAGCCCTTGATCGTGACTCTCAGTTCCATTACATTACACATAAGATTCATTGGACGAAGGCATTTTCTGTAGGGGGAGTTTTGTTAAGAGCCCCGATGCTCAATCTGAACATTGCTTGTGGTACGGTTTTGGAAGCATAAGGTCCTTATTTTTCATATCAGCAAGAAATAATTTTCAAAAAACAAAAGGTTAAATTGATACTCACCTTGATAGGGTTAGTGTTCCCACACGGCCATATCTCCAGGTTACAGCGCTTGTTTACGGATGACAAGAGGGTACCATTATGCAAATTAGCTATCTAGTATGCTCCGCACAAATATGTGTAAGTGTAACTTGGGAAGTGTAGCAGAAGTGTAGTTTTGTCAGATGGAGGCACCCATAGCAGTATGGATCTGTGCAAAACTGCTACAGTAAGTGTATTCTTTTTATTTGAAAGATTCTTTCTCACTGATGAAAGAGAAGGGCCATATGTTTTGAAAGCCGTATCTCAAGCAATGATTATTGATGTTTCTAAACGTTTAAACACAGCAACGGGATTGTAGTTCACATGAGGCAGTCGTAGGCGAAGCTAATGTCTGAGAACTGTAGGGAGAATGCAGAATGCCGCCTAAAGTTTTCGAGAGCTAGCTAGCTATAAACAAAATGTAGCTACTTACCAATAACACACCAGTCTCAGGTTTGACGGTTGACACCCCAAGTAGAAGCTAGTCAGATTTAATCCATATCCTGGCCATCTGCCGAAGATTGTTGAACAACTTTATGGAAGCCCATTTTCACTAGAGTAGATATTTCCTGAGCAAGGGCAAGTACTTAACACTGTCTGGGGAAGACTTTCCAGTGGGCGAGTTCGTTTTGCTTGACCCGGTGCCACGGGTGGGTGGGGTTTACTCATTTTCAACCATTCCATTGGTCCTCTAAGGAGAGATCTGCCCCCGCCTTTGCTGAGATCCGGTTTTCAGGGGAAATGGAAATATAGCCTGTGAATCAACTTCCGCTTTTGGACGTTAACAAGGCGGCACTCCATCTTAAATCCTCCTCCACATTTACTGGATTGGTTGAAAAGTGCAAAAGTAATTTTTCTTCTTGTCAAGACCAGTATGTAGGGGATCTAGTTTCAGGAATTTCTTTATTTTACACCTACTAGGTTACCACCCGGGCCATGCAAAGCCAAATTCTTCAGTCTCCTGAGGGGGAATAGGCTTTGTCGTGCCCTCTTCATGACTGTCTTGGTGTGTTTGGACCATGATAGTTTGTTGGTGCTCTCAACCTGTTCCACTACAGCCCCGTCGATGAGAATGGGGGCGTGCTCAGTCCTCTTCTTTTTCCTGTAGTCCACAATCATCTCCTTTGTCTTGATCACATTGAGGGAGAGGTTGTTATCCTGGCATCACACGGCCAGGTCTCTGACCTCCTCCCTATAGGCTGTCTCATCGATGTCGGTGATCAGGCCTACCACTGTTGTGTCGTCTGCAAACTTAATGATGGTGTTGGAGTGCTGCCTGGCCATGCAGTCATGGGTGTACAGGGAGTACAGGAGGGGACTGAGCATGCACCCCTGAGGGGCCCCCTTGTTGAGGATCAGTGTGGCAGATGTGTTGTTACCTACCCTTACCACCTGGGGGCGGCCCGTCAGGAAGTCCAGGATCCAGGGAGGTGTTTAGTCCCAGGGTTCTTAGCTTAGTGATGAGCTTTGAGGGCACTATGGTGTTTAACGCTGAGCTGTAGTCAATGAATAGCATTCTCACGTAGGTGTTCCTCTTGTCCAGGTGGGAAAGGGCAGTGTGGAGTGCAATAGAGATTGCATCATCTGTGGATCTGTTGGGGCGGTATGCAAATTGAAGTGGGTCTAGGGTTTCTGGGATAATGGTGTTGATGTGAGCCATGACCAGCCTTTCAAAGCACTTCATGGCTACAGACGTGAGTGCTACGGGTCGGTAGTCATTTAGGCAGGTTATCTTAGTGTTCTTGGGCACAGGGACTATGGTGGTCTGCTTGAAACATGTTGGTATTACAGACTCAGTCAGGAACATGTTGAGAATGTCGGTGAAGACACTTGCTAGTTGGTCAGCGCATGCTCGGAGTATGCGTCCTGGTAATCCGTCTGGCCCTGCGGCCTTGTGAATGTTGACCTGCTTAAAAGTCTTATTCACATCGGCTACGGAGAGCGTGATCACATAGTCATCCGGAACAGCTGATGCTTTCATGCATGCTTCAGTGTTGCTTGCCTCGAAGCGAGCATAGAAGTGATTTAGCTCATCTGGTAGGCTTGTGTCACTGGGCAGCTCGCGGCTGTGCTTCCCTTTGTAGTCTGTAATAGTTTGCAAGCCCTGCCACATCCGACGAGCGTCGGAGCCGGTGTAGTACGATTCAATCTTAGTCCTTTATTGACTCTTTGCCTGTTTGATGGTTAGTCGGAGGGCATAGTGGAATTTCCGGGTTAGAGTCCCGCTCCTTGAAAGCGGAAGCTTTACCCTTTAGCTCAGTGCGGATGTTGCCTGTAATCCATGGCTTCTGCTTGGGGTATGTACAAGGCACCCCGACCTACGTCCACGATATCTCTGTCTCTTTCTCATGCGAATGACAGGGATTTGGGCCTTGTCGGTTGTCTGTAGAATATCCTTCGCGTCCGACTCATTGAAGAAAAAAATATTCGTCCAATACGAGGTGAGTAATCGCTGTCCTGAAATCCATAAGCTCGTTTTGGTCATAAGAGACGGTGGCAGAAACATTATGTACAGAATAAATTACTAATAACGTGAAAAAACATAGATGCACTTATTGACGAAGCCAGTGACTGATGTGGTGTACTCCTCAATGCCATCGGAAGAATCTCGGAACATATTCCAGTCTGTGCTAGCAAAACAGTCCTGTAGCTTAGCATCTGCGTCATCTGACCACTTCCTTTTTAACCAAGTCACTGGTGCTTCCTGCTTTAGTTTTTGCTTATAAGCAGGAATCAGGAGGATAGAATTATGGTCAGATATGCCAAATAGAGGGCAAGGGAGAGCTTTGTACGCATCTCTGTGTGTGGAGTAAAGGTGGTCTAGTGTTTTTTTCCCTCTGGTTGCACATGTAACATGCTGGTAGAAATTAGGTAGAACGGATTTAAGTTTCCCTGCATTAAAGTCCCCGGCCACTAGGAGCGCTGCCTCTGGATGACCGTTTTCCTGTTTGCTTATGGCCTTGTACAGCTCATTGAGTGCAGTCTTAGTGCCAGCATCGGTTTGTGATGGTAAATAGACAGCCAAGAAAAATATAGATGAAAACTCTCTTTGTAAATAGTGTGATCTACAGCTTATCATGAGATACTCTACCTCAGGCGAGCAAAGCCTTGAGACTTCCTTAGTATTAGATTTCGTGCACCAGCTTTTGTTTACAAATATACACAGACCGCCATCCCTTGTCTTACTGGAGTCAGCCGCTCTATCCTGCCGATGTAGCATATATCCCGCAAGCTGTATGTTATCCATGTCGTCGTTCAGCCACAACTCGGTGAAACATAAGATATTACAGTTTTTAATGTCCCATTGGTAGGATATCCGTGATCGTAGGTCGTCTGTTTTGTTTTCAAATGATTGTACGTTGGCTAATAGGACTGATGGTAGATGCAGAGTACTCGCTTGCCGTCGGATCCTTACAAGGCACCCTCACCTACGTCCACAATATCTCTGTCTCTTTCTCATGCGAATGACGAGGATTTGGGCCTTGTCGGGTGTCTGTAGAATATCCTTCACGTCCGACTCATTGAAGAAAAAATCTTTGTCCAATTTGAGGTGAGTAATCGCTGTCCTGATATCAAGTAGCTCTTTTTAGTCATAAGAGATGGTGGCAGAAACATTATGTACAGAATAAATGACAAATAACGTGAAAAAACACACATGATAGCACAATTGGTTAGGGGGCCGTAAAACCACACCTGTGTTAATTGTAATCCAAACCCAATGTCACGTTCGTTCATAGACGGGTCAGACCAAGGCGCAGCGTGATATGCATACATGTTTATTTTAAACGTAATAAACAACGTCAAAACAATAAACCAACGAAGCGTGACGTCCAAAGGTAACACACAACAAACCTCACACGGAACAAGATCCCGCTAGTGCCAATAGGCTGCCTAAGTATGGTCCCCAATCAGAGACAACGAGCGACAGCTGCCTCTGATTGGGAACCACACCGGCCAACATAGATCTAGACATACTAGATCCTATAACATAGAACAGGCACAACAAGGAATATACACACCCTGACTCAACGTTTAAGCGTCCCCTGAGTCAGGGCGTGACAGTACCCCCCCCCAAAGGTGCGGACTCCGACCGCAAAACATAAACATAACAGGGTAGGGGCAGGGTGGGCATTCCGGCTCGGGGCGTGACGACCTCTCACTCTTCGCCTCCCTGTTGCGCCCCTGGTCTGGTCTAGACCTAGGCGCATTGCTTCCCCTCTCCTTCCTCCCACGATACGCCAGGCCCAGTCTGGACCCTGGTGTGGGAGACCCAGAAACCTGGAGAGGGGCTGACGTCATGGTCTGGACTGGAGCCGCTGACCGGAGCTGGACTAGGCACCGGTGGAGCGGACTGCTCTGGCTCCGGAGTGGAGCCGCTGACCGGAGCTGGATCAGGCACCGGTGGAGCGGACTGCTCTGGCTCCGAAGTGGAGCCGTTGACCGGAGCTGGACTCGACCCCGGTGGAGCGGACTGCTCTGGCTCCGGAGTGGCGCAGCTGACCGGAGCTGGATCAGGCACCGGCGGAGCGGACTGCTCTGGCTCCGGAGTGGAACAGCTGACCGGAACTGGATCAGGCACCGGTGGAGCGGACTGCTCTGGCTCCGGAGTGGAGCAGCTGACCGGTGCCGGACCACGCACCGGTGGAACGGGCACGGGCCGTGCCGGACTGGACAAACGCACCACTGGTCTGGTGCGAGGAGCAGGAACAGGCCGGGCCGGGCTGGCGACGCGCACCACTGTCTTGGTGCGAGGAGCAGGAACAGGCCGGGCCGGGCTGGCGATGCGCACCACTGGCTTGGTGCGAGGAGCAGGAACAGGCCGGGCCGGGCTGGCGACGCGCACCACTGGCTTGGTGCGAGGAGCAGGAACAGGCCGAGCTGGCGACGCGCACCACTGGCTTGGTGCGAGGAGCAGGAACAGGCCGGGCCGGACTGGCGACGCGCACCACTGGCTTGGTGCGAGGAGTAGGAACAGGCCGGACCGGCTGGCGACGCGCACCACTGGCTTGGTGCGAGGAGCAGGAACGGGCCAGACCGGGCTGGCGACGCGCACCACTGTCTTGGTGCGAGGAGCAGGAACTGGCCGGACCGGGCTGGTGACACGCACCACTGGCTTGGTGCGGGGAGCAGGAATGGGCCGGACCGGACCGGACTGGCGACACGCACCACTTCCTTGGTGCGAGGAGCAGGACTGGGTTCCTTTATTAACCCCCGCTCCTTCTGCTGCCTAACCAGCTCCTCTCGCCGTGCCTCTACCTTTTCCTTCTCCCTTTTAGCTTCCTGTAGCGCCTCCCTCTGACCGAATAACTCCTGCTCCCTCTGAACCAATAGCACTTGGTGGCCTCCTCTCCTAATCTGCAGATCTGCCCTGTCGCGGCCTCCTTCTGCCTCGTCGTCCACACCGTGTGCCCCCCCAATTTTTTTTATTGGGGTTGCCTCTCGGGTCTCTGTCGTCGGCACTCCTCTTCCCGTGAGGACTCCTCCGGGAGCCCCCACGAGTTAGGGAACAGAAACTCGTTGTCGTCGTCATCCTCCGACTCCTCAGTATAATACTGTTCCCACTCCTCTTCCCATGGTCGTGGGGACCCAATCTGGAAACCAACCGGGTGCAGTGGTCGGGGCTCTTCTCTCTCGCTCCCCGACCACCCCTTTAGCCCCCAAACATTTTTTGTCCAGGGTGTTCGGTCCTCCTGGGCACGCTGCTTGGTTCGTGTTTGGTGGGATCTTCTGTCACGTTCGTTCATAGACGGGTCAGACCAAGGCGCAGCGTGATATGCATACATGTTTATTTTAAACTTAATAAACAACGACAAAACAATAAACCAACGAAACGTGATGTCCAAAGGTAACACACAACAAACCTCACACGGAACAAGATCCCACAACCCACTAGTGCCAATAGGCTGCCTAAGTATGGTCACCAATCAGAGAAAACGAGCGACAGCTGCCTCTGATTGGGAACCACACCGGCCAACATAGATCTAGACATACTAGATCCAATAACATAGAACAGGCACAACAAGGAATATACACACCCTGACTCAACATATAAGCGTCCCCTGAGTCAGGACGTGACGCCCAACTTTCATTTATCTGTTGTGATGCACTAGGGTTCCAAACTCTGTTTTTGACGAGACTGACTTTATGACCAAAATTATCCTATTTGCACTTTGCAGTCAATTTGGACACTAGAATAAATGTTTTTGACTTATATCGATGCCACATAGGCCATTTTCAAAGGGATTAGTTGGTTTTTAGGGACAGTCGTTCTTTAAACTTGCACCATTTTTAAATGCTGAATTTAATGTTATTGAGAAAACAGAAAGGTGTCATAATGTATTTTTTCCCCGGAAACATCCTTTCTGAATTAAAAAGTAATCCAAGAAGTAATAATCTAGTTTTTCAAAAGTATCTGTAATCTGATTACAATATTTTTGTAACTGATTAAATGTTTTCAGTTACTCCCCAACCCTGTCTATGTTTGTGTTCTAGAGCTGTTTCCGAACTGGTTCTGCTTCCTGTGGTTGTGTTGTCTAGAGCTGGTGGTCCAAGCTGTGGTTCTGGAGAGACGTGGTGGAGAACATTCCTCTGAAGCCGGAGAACATCCAGATACTCAACCCAGAGATCATGCACAAAACGGGCCTGGCACTGCAGAGATACACGCAGCAACAGAGGAAGGTTAGTACTACTGATACACGTAGCAACAGAGGAAGGTTAGTACTACTGATACACACAGCAACAGAGGAAGGTTAGTACTACTGATACACGTAGCAACAGAGGAAGGTTAGTACTACTGATACACACAGCAACAGAGGAAGGTTAGTACTACTGATACACGTAGCGACAGAGGAAGGTTAGTACTACTGATACACACAGCAACAGAGGAAGGTTAGTACTACTGATACACATAGCAACAGAGGAAGGTTAGTACTACTGATACACGTAGCAACAGAGGAAGATTAGTACTACTGATACACACAGCAACAGAGGAAGGTTAGTACTACTGATACACACAGCAACAGAGGAAGGTTAGTACTACTGATACACGTAGCAACAGAGGAAGGTTAGTACTACTGATACACGTAGCAACAGAGGAAGGTTAGTACTACTGATACACGTAGCAACAGAGGAAGGTTAGTACTACTGATACACACAGCAACAGAGGAAGGTTAGTACTACTGATACACGTAGCAACAGAGGAAGGTTAGTACTACTGATACACGTAGCAACAGAGGAAGGTTAGTACTACTGATACACACAGCAACAGAGGAAGGTTAGTACTACTGATACACGCAGCAACAGAGGAAGGTTAGTACTACTGATACACACAGCAACAGAGGAAGGTTAGTACTACTGATACACGTAGCAACAGAGGAAGGTTAGTAATACTGATACACACAGCAACAGATGGTTAGTACAGAAGTACTACTGATACACACAGCAACATAATACTTTTAAAGGACATACAGGTAACTGACAAAATAATGGAAACACTTGAGTAAATGAGGGATACAAAGTATATTGAAAGCAGGTACTTCACACAGGTGTGGTTCCTGAGTTAATTAAGCAATTAGCATCCCATCATGCTTAGGGTCATGTGTAAAAACGCTGGGCAGGCCATTGTTTTTCCATTATTTTGGCTACCATGGCTATGCCTCTATAAGATGACAATGAATGGTTTGATTAGCATGACAATGATGTAAACCATATGCCATGACCATCTCAGTCACCAGATCTCAACCCAATTGAACACTTATGGGAGATTCTGGAGCGGCGCCTGAGACAGCGTTTTAACACCAAATTATGGAATTTCTCATGGAATAGAGTCCCTCCAATAGAGTTCCAGACACTTGTAGAATCTATGCCAAGGTGCATTGAATCTGTTATGGCTCGTGGTGGCCCAACGCCCTATTAAGACACTTTATGTTGGTGTTTCCTTTATTTTGGCAGTTACCTGCAAATGCATACCCAATGGATGAATGCTGCAATAATTGAATGGCTCTCTCTATATGGTTTGCTTTAACCCTTGGGTGGAAATGTTTCTTCTTAGATTGGTGTCGTCTGAACACGAGTTGGCCTTAATAAACACTTATTTACCATCCTGTCTTCTCTCTCTAGTTGATTCCTACGATAGGTGCCAGTGCGGTGGTGATGGCCCTACAGCTGTGTGATGAGGTGAGCCTGGCAGGGTTTGGTTATGACCTGCAGCATCCCAGTGCCAGACTGCACTACTACGAGAGACTATGTATGGACGCCATGATGGCCCAGGTACACTAAATAGGAGCAGTGGAGAGCGAGAACGGCAAACACTGATTGTTTGCTGTTCCCATAAAACGTTTGTTAGCTTGTGCTACTTGTAAGGTCCAGGTCAGAGAAGCACTTTTTAATTATATATATTTTTCTAATGAAAGTCTCTAAGTATCTTCCTGTATTGATTGTCTTTGTCCAGGTGGTACATGATGTGAGCGCTGAGAAACTCTTCCTCAGAGAGCTATTGGCTGCAGGCGTCTTGACTGACCTCACAGGGGCACTGTGACAGAGAGACAGTACCAGGGATGGACCCAGTTCTAGCAGTTGTGGTTGGTATGTTAACTGCCTAGCTCAAGGGCAGAACGGCAGATTTTTCCACCTTGCCGGCTCGGGGATTCGAACCAGTGACCTTTCTTAGCAACCCCTGGTCCCTACTATGATGATTCAACCAATCAAGGCTTAGTTGAAGAATGTACTATTATTATTATTATTATTTACTATATTACGCACTATAAAAATGTATGCACACATTACTGTAAGTCGCTTTGGATAAAAGTGTCTGCTAAATGTCATATATTATTATTAGATATTAAATGCCCAATGCAGCTGTTTTTATATCAATATCAAATAATTTCTGTGTAACAATTAAGTACCTTACTGTAATAGATTTCCATTAAAATGAAATGTCTGGGAGTGGTCTGAGTGGGAGGGGAAAACAGAAAACTAGCTGTTATTGGCAAAGGTTTGCAACTTTCTTTGTTATTGGTCTATTAACTAATTTACTGCATGGTGATGTCACCATGGAAAGCAGAAACTCCCGCCCATGCAAACCTGCTCATTAGAAGGTCCTGTGTAGATTGTATTTTCAACCAGCAACTATCAGGAAATAACACTGAACACATTTTTTCACACTTTTACAGTGTTAGATTAATCAGCTGTTGTACAATATGATACAAAACACTGGAAAAACAGAATTTTGACTGCACTGGGCCTTTAAGAACAAAAGATTGACCACCTCTGCACTACTTACCACAACCTGCCCCAACCTCAACACGTTGTAGTACAGTACCTTCCATATCCTGCCCCAACCTCAACACGTTGTAGTACAGTACCTTCCATAACCTGCCCCAACCTCAACACGTTGTAGTACAGTACCTTCCATAACCTGCCCCAACCTCAACACGTTGTAGTACAGTACCTTCCATAACCTGCCCCAACCTCAACACGTTGTAGTACAGTACCTTCCATAACCTGCCCCTACATCAGTACATTGTAGTACCTTCCACAACCTGCCCCTACCTCAACACGTTGTAGTATCTTCGGTAAAGTCAAGCTTTTACAAGACAATCTTTATTTATGTCAATACTCTCATGACGTAGTCAAGGCAAACAGGTTGAGATGACTTTGCCCTTCCTGCAATCTCCCTGGTCCCCTAGGTAATACATTAATACACTCGATCATTGGCAAGTCTACCTTCAGTTGATTTTCGCCACAGATGGCAAGGTCCTGAGAGTGGAATAGATCAATCTGGAGAGAGAAAGAGAGAGAGAAATCTTTTTTTTGCATGTGTGTGTAGCGTGTGTGTGGGAGGAAATGTGCAGGGCTCCACTAATGTCTCATATGGAGCTGAGACATCCATGCTGACCTTGTCCTGCTCCTCTACAATATGTACATTTAACCTGCCTACATATTACAAATGTATTTAATTTAGTGGTTCAAAAAGAATGTAATCCATTTTAGAATAAGGCTGTAACGTAACAAAATGTGGTTAAAGGGAAGGGGTCTGAATACTTTCAGAATGCACTGTGTATATATATATATATATAGCATTTTCATTGTTTGACATACAAAATGTAAAACCACCAGAAAATCAGCTCAAACTGATTTTAATTTGGAAAATCTGTTCCAAAGTATTCCCCCGCATAATAAAGAGATGTGATCGTATACAAATGTAAGCAAGGTTTGAAATGAATATGTTTTAGTCAAATATTATATCTGTTTGGGATTATTGCGGTCAATTTGTAGTCTACAATTGATCTGTAATTATATTACGGCCCCCAGACCATCTGCTCAAGAAAAAATCTAGTCTAGTTGATGATCACTGTCCTAGATGGACCGTCAGCAGCTCATAACGCTTCACCACCTCCCACTGGTGGCTCTTACTGTAGTAGAGCACCAGCTTCATGTGGAGGGGAACACACACACACACAGGCTTGTAATACAGCCAGAAATACAAGAAAATGCATTACACACACACACACACACACACACACACACACACACACACACACACACACACACACACACTTTTAATACCTACAGAACTACAAGAAAATGCATTACACACACACACACACACACACACACACACACACACACACACACACACACACACACACACACACACACACACACTTTTAATACCTACAGAACTACAAGAAAACTCATTACACACACACACACACACACACACTCCTCCTCACCTGTAGTAGTCCCAGGCTAGCATTCCGATGGGGACGGCGTCATCAAGCAGGATTGGCAGATACTTCACTTCCAGCTTCACTTCTAGCCCTGATTGGTCAGGGGTCAAAGGTCAGACAAACACAATGACATTCCAGAACATTCCAATGCGAAAACCCTGCTTGGTGTACCCAACATAGTAGAGGTAATTTACCATTTCATTTTTGAACCAAAGGAGGTAGCAGAAGAAGTCGTCTCCATCTCTCAGAGTGACAGTGGAATAACCCTTCTGTAGGTAAAGGCGCGATGTATTAACCAGACCCCATACCTACAGAGAGACAGAGACAGAGAGACAGGAATCATACATTTACTGAAAATATCAAACCAGCTTTACATTCACTAAGGCAACATTTGAGCCTATTTTAGTTTATTATAATCCCAAACTAGCGGCTAACTCTCAGACAATCCTCTAGACCCAGTGTAGATGATGCAGTCTAACCTTGCCCTTGATGAAATTACCCAGCGGCCCCTTTCCTAGCTCAGAGGTGGCGCGGTCTGTGATGTTGAGAGAGGGAGCGATCATCTGACCAGCGGTGCGGTCAACATAGATGAAATGGATCAGGCCTGGGAACTCCTCAAGGTACGTAATATCCGCGGGTTAGTGTCAATACACCTCACAACACAGAGATTCAGTACCACAACACTGCAGTAACTCCTCTGGGTATGTAACATCAGCTGGGTTAAATACACTCAACAACTACAGTGAGGGAAAAAAGTATTTGATCCCCTGCTGATTTTGTATGTTTGCCCACTGACAAAGAAAGTATCAGTCTATAATTTTAAAGGTAGGTTTATTTGAACAGTGAGAGACAAAATAACAACAACAAAACCCAGAAAAACGCATGTCCAAAATGTTATAAATTGATTTGGATTTTAATGAGGGAAATAAGTATTTGACCCCCTCTCAATCAGAAAGATTTCTGGCTCCCAGGTGTCTTTTATACAGGTAACGAGCTGAGATTAGGAGCACACTCTTAAAGGGAGTGCTCCTAATCTCAGTTTGTTACCTGTATAAAAGACATCTGTCCACAGAAGCAATCAATCAATCAGATTCCAAACTCTCCACCATGGCCAAGACCAAAGAGCTCTCTAAGGATGTCAGGGACACGATTGTAGAACTACACAAGGCTGGAATGGGCTACAAGACCATCGCCAAGCAGCTTGATGAGAAGGTGACAACAGTTGGTGCGATTATTCACAAATGGAAGAAACACAAAAGAACTGTCAATCTCCCTCGGCCTGGGGCTCCATGCCAGATCTCACCTCGTGGAGTTGCAATGATCATGAGAACGGTGAGGAATCAGCCCAGAACTACAAGGGAGGATCTTGTCAATGATCTCAAGGCAGCTGGGACCATAGGACTGAAATCCTGTAACGCCCGTAAGGTCCCCCTGCTCAAGAAAGCACATATACAGGCCCGTCTGAAGTTTGCCAATGAACATCTGAATGATTCAAAGGAGAACTGGGTGAAAGTGTTGTGGTCAGATGAGACCAAAATCGAGCTCTTTGGCATCAACTCAACTCGCCGTGTTTGGAGGAGGAGGAATGCTGCCTATGACCCCAAGAACACCATCCCCACCGTCAAACATGGAGGTGGAAACATTTTGCTTTGGGGGTGTTTTTCTGCTAAGGGGACAGGACAACTTCACCGCATCAAAGGGACGATGGACGGGGCCATGTACCGTCAAATCTTGGGTGAGAACCTCCTTCCCTCAGCCAGGGCATTGAAAATGGGTTGTGGATGGGTATTCCAGCATGACAATGACCCAAAACACACGGCCAAGGCAACAAAGGAGTGGCTCAAGAAGAAGCACATTAAGGTCATGGAGTGGCCTAGCCAGTCTCCAGACCTTAATCCCATAGAAAATCTGTGGAGGGAGCTGAAGGTTCGAGTTGCCAAATGTCAGCCTCGAAACCTTAATGACTTGGAGAAGATCTGCAAAGAGGAGTGGGACAAAATCCCTCCTGAGATGTGTGCAAACCTGGTGGCCAACTACAAGAAACCTCTGACCTCTGTGATTGCCAACAAGGGTTTTGCCACCAAATACTAAGTCATGTTTTGCAGAGGGGTCAAATACTTATTTCCCTCATTAAAATGCAAATCAATTTATAACATTTTTGACATGCGTTTCTCTGGATTTTTTTGTTGTTATTCTGTCTCTCACTGTTCAAATAAATCTACCATTAAAATTATAGACTGATCATGTCTTTGTCAGTGGGCAACCGTACAAAATCAGCAGGGGATCAAATACTTTTTTCCCTCACTGTATCTCATAGTTAAATACATTCAACTATCTCGTAGTTAAATACATTCAACTATCTCATAGTTAAATACACTCAACTATTTCATAGTTAAATACACTGAACTATTGTCATAAATATCTGTCCAATGTGGTCTGAACTACTGTAGCAGCATTTGCTTTGATTTTAACTGACTTTAACTGACCTTAACTGATTTTAACTGACTTTAACTGACCTTAACTGATTTTAACTGATTTTAACTAGATGCATGAGGACATTCTACTCCTGCAGATAAGAGACATACAGTAGAAATGACATACTGTATGTGATGACACCAGGGCAGACCATACCCCATGGATAGTTGTCAGCTTCTATCACTCTCAACATGCTATGGAAACGGAGAAACACTGAAACCACTTGAGATATACACTGAGTAGACAAAACATTAAGAACACCAGCTCTTTCCATGACATTGATTGACCAGGTGAAAGCTATGATCCCTTATTGAGGTCACTTGTTAAATCCACTTCAATCAGTGCAAATGAAGGGGAGGAGACAGGTTAAAGAAGGATTTTTAAGCCTTGAGACAATTGAGACATGGATTGTGTATGTGTGCCATTCAGAGGGTGAATGGGCAAGACAAAATACTTAAGTGCCTTTGAACGGGGTATGGTAGTAGGTGCCAGGCGCACCGGTTTGAGTGGGTCAAGAACTGCAACGCTGCTCGGTTTTTCACAGTCAGTTTCCCATGTGTATCATTGACTCGGTTCCGGTACTCCTTGTATATAGCCTCGTTATTGTTTTTATTGTGTTACTATTTCCTTTTTATTCTATTTAGCAAATATTTGTCTTACTTTTTAAATCTGCACTGTTGGCCATGGGCATAATAAGTAAGCATTTCCCTGTAAAGTCTACACCTGTTGTATTCGGCGCATGTGACCAATAACATTTTATTTGAATGATCCACCACCCAAAGGACATCTAGCCAACTTTACACAACTGTTGGAAGCATTGGCGTCAACATGGGACAGCATCCCTGTGGAACGCTTTCAACACCTTGTAGAGTCCATGCCCTGATGAATTGAGGCTGTTCTCTAACCTCATAATATTGGGAGCACAAAAATAGGGAATAGGATACCATTTGATATTCTAACATGGCTCCAGGGAGCGGGGTTACTGTGAGGCAGGATATGACACCATGGTGATGTTCCTTTTACTCTTCAACAACAGGAAGTCCTTCCAGTCCATCAACTTCTCCCTGGAGAGAGGGGGGGGGGGGGGGGGATTAAGGGGAAAGAGTGAGGACAAGTGGAGAGAGAGAGCAGATAGGATGAGAGGAGGGGCCTAGAGGAAAGACAAGAAGAGGGAGAGAAAGAGTAGAGGAAGATAAGAATGTCTTCACCCGAACAGGGGCAAGCCTTTTCATCAGAATGCCGATTTATTTTGTAAAGACAATTTATTTCATTTTTTAACACAAAACAATAACCAACATATAAAACAAAAAAACAAAAAAACACAAATACAATACACAGGGAGATTTCTTTTTCTGATAAATGATAATATACAAATGCATGACATATTATAGATGAAGTCCTTGATATCCACAGCTCTGTCCTACAGGCCTTTACACAGTACCTACAGCCCTGGTTGGTTGTTATTGTGACAGGTACTAGTACTGGGCCCCATACATACTGCACCATGGTGAGAGCTCTCCCCTGTAGACTGGGTGATAGACACCGTGGACTCCCTCCTCCAACTGTGTTCTCTGTGATGAAACACTGTCTGTAGACCCCACGAAGCTGACTCTTCATACTATGACACCAGGGGACCAGGCTAGGGACAGGGTTCATAGTTCTGAGCTAACTGGTAATGATACACATCTTGCCAAATGGACCCATCAGGTACCTTCCTCTGACATTGGGTAAGCAATGTGATGATCATTTCATGTAAACTATAAGAAGGTAAGGTAAAGCTATTACCATATTGCAGGGTTCAAGACTGCGACCATTTAGTCACATTTTGCAACCCTTTGACTTGGCTGTGCGAGTTACATTTTTAGTTGGTTGCATTGGTGTGAGCTGCACATTTTACATGGTCACCTCACTCCAAACGTCTTATTTTGTTTAAGAGGCAAAAACCATGATTTGGTCAAACAGTAATGTGAATTATCCTTATGATTCCTGTAATGAAAGTCTCTGCCCTGCCCTGTGGCTGTTTCACTGGGGCCTGCTGCTGTGATGAGCCAGCCACCCTCTCCCTCTCCTCCGCGCTACAGGAGAAAAAACATGTATGTGTAGGCTGTGAATGTAGGATATAAGATTTCAAAATCCAATTGCGGGAAAAAGACAGCAGTTTCACTGCAGAGTCAGACGTCCATACCCTTGTCCATAAACATCACATTTCGAAAGTTACCGTATGTTTAGGTATTCATTCTGAATGGTTAAGTTTAGGGTTAAGGTTTAGGATAGGGTTAAAACAAAAACAACCCCACAGTTAAGTTTAGGCATTAATTTTGAATGGTTGTGTTAAGGGTTAAACCCAACACAGCCATTTTTATCTCAATATCAAATCATTACAATTAAAAAGGTAAAAAATAAGCAAAAATTGCTTCTTAGCATAGGGCAATTTCTCAAGCAAGAATTTTGCTAGGACTGTCAAGGGGTGGTCTGAGTGGGGTGGGGAAAACTGAAAATTAGCTGTTATCGGCAGAGTTTTAGAACTCCCTTTCTTATTGGGCTATTAACTAATTTACCGCATGGTGATGTCAAAACTCCATCCCACCAAAACATGCTGAAATGTATTTTCAAACAGCTCTTACACTAAAAGGGCATTATCAGAATTTTCACAATTTAACAGTATAATTCCAACCTCATAGAAATATATATAAAACACAGGAAAATCACGTTTATAAAAAAAATTACGAGAGCCTAGCACTGGGATCGAACACGCGACCCTCAGAACCGGAGCTCGTGACATACGCCCATCCGCCAACACCCTAGCAAAACCCAAGCCTACTTAATGGTAATAGCGCCCACCTAGTGGCCGGTTTTGACGTCATCTCCTGACGTCCTGCTTATCTGGACAGACGTCTAATTTCGCAGTGGATCTTGAGCGACATGGCTGGTTGAAGAGATGAGGTTCTCAGCTTTCTGTAGGTATGATGTGTCTTTCTCAACTCTCAATATTTAGCTCTATAGGCCTAGCAACCATTTTACAACAAAGATATTCATATGGCTTGAGATACAGAGCGTGCGAAATGCGCAACGGCCATTGTGAGTGCATAGGACTCATTGGGCAGGCAGTAGGCTACAACTGCTATACTACATGACCAAAAGTATGTGGACACCTGCTCATCGCACATCTCATTCCAAAATCATGGGCATTAATATGGAGTTGGTCCCCCCTTTGCTGCTATAACAGCCTCCACTCTTCTGGGAAGGCTTTCCACTAGATGTTGGAACATTGCTGTGGGGACTTGCTTCCATTCAGCCACAAGAGCATTAGTGAGGTCGGGGACTGATGTTGGGCGATTAGGCCTGGCTCGCAGTCGGCTTTCCATCATCCCAAAGGTGTTCGATGGGGTTGAGGTCAGGGCACTTTGCAGGCCAGTCAAGTTCTTCCACACCGATCTCAGCAAACCATTTCTGTATGGACCTCGCTTTGTGCACGGGGGCATTGTCATGCTGAAACAGGAAAGGGCCTTCCCCAAACTGTTGCCAATAAGTTGGAAGCACAGAATCATCTAGAATGCCATTGTATGCTGTAGCGTTAAGATTTCCCTTCAATGGAACTAAAGGGGCCTGAACCATGAAGAAAAGCCCCAGATCATTACTCCTCCTACACCAAACTTTACAGTTGGCAATGTGCATTGGGGCAGGTAGCATTTTCCTGGCATCTGCCAAACGCAGATTAGTCCGTCGGACTGCCAAATGGTGAAGTGTGATTCATCACTCCAGAGAAGGCGTTTCCACTGCTCCAGAGTCCAATGGCAGCGAGCTTTACACCACTCCAGCTGACGCTTGGCATTGCGCATGGTGATATTAGGCTTGTGTGGATTGCTTCCAGAGACATTTTTGAACTCGGTAGTGAGTATTGCAACCGAGGACGGACGGCTTTTACGTGCTACGCGCTTCAGCATTTGGCGTCCCGTTCTGTGAGCTTGTGTGGCCTACCACTTCGCGGCTGAGCCGTTGTTGCTCCTAGACATTTCCACTTCACAATACAGTTGACCAGGGCAGCTCTAGAAGTGCAGAAATTTGACGAACTGACTTGTTGGAAAGGTGGCATCCTATGACATTTTACATTTTACATTTTAGTCATTTAGCAGACGCTCTTATCCAGAGCGACTTACAGTTAGTGAGTGCATACATTGTCATACTGGCCCCCCGTGGGAAACGAACCCACAACCCTGGCGTTGCAAGTGCCAACTGAGCTACACGGTGCCACGTTGAAAGTCACTGAGGATAGACATTTTTTTTTAAGTCACTGAGGATAGACATTTTTTTTAAGTCACTGAGGATAGACATTTTTTTTAAGTCACTGAGGATAGACATTTTTTTTAAGTCACTGAGGATAGACATTTTTTTTAAGTCACTGAGGATAGACATTTTTTTTAAGTCACTGAGGATAGACATTTTTTTTAAGTCACTGAGGATAGACATTTTTTTTAAGTCACTGAGGATAGACATTTTTTTTAAGTCACTGAGGATAGACATTTTTTTTAAGTCACTGAGGATAGACATTTTTTTTAAGTCACTGAGGATAGACATTTTTTTAAATGACATGACGCTTCCATATACAGCTAGGACTGTATACACTACACACACCTGTATGAGCTTCTCCAGTTTGTTGCAGAGGTCCTGCATAGGGGTCTGGCCTCGGGCAGTTGAGACCTCCAGACCTTCACTCAGACGCTTCTCTAACGCATCCAGGAACACATAGACTAATATGGCCAGGTTAGATAGATAGATAGATAGATAGATAGATAGATAGATAGAGAGAGAGAGAGAGAGAGAGAGAGAGAGAGAGAGAGAGAGAGAGAGAGAGAGAGAGAGAGAGAGAGAGAGAGAGAGAGAGAGAGAGAGAGAGAGAGAGAGAGAGAGAGAGAGAGAGAGAGAGAGAGACGTTTTAACTCATAGTGACACTATATACAGGTAAAAGTCAGTAAATTAGAATATTTTGAAAAACTTGATTTATTTCAGTAATTGCATTCAAAAGGTGTAACTTGTACATTATATTTATTCATTGCACACAGACTGATGCATTCAAATGTTTATTTCATTTAATTTTGATGATTTGAAGTGGCAACAAATGAAAATCCAAAATTCCGTGTGTCACAAAATTAGAATATTACTTAAGGCTAATACAAAAAAGGGATTTTTTAGAAATGTTGGCCAACTGAAAAGTATGAAAATGAAAAATATGAGCATGTACAATACTCAATACTTGGTTGGAGCTCCTTTTGCCTCAATTACTGCATTAATGCGGCGTGGCATGGAGTCGATGAGTTTCTGGCACTGCTCAGGTGTTATGAGAGCCCAGGTTGCTCTGATAGTGGCCTTCAACTCTTCTGCGTTGTTGGGTCTGGCATTCTGCATCTTCCTTTTCACAATACCCCACAGATTTTCTATGGGGCTAAGGTCAGGGGAGTTGGCTGGCCAATTTAGAACAGAAATACCATGGTCCGTAAACCAGGCACGGGTAGATTTTGCGCTGTGTGCAGGCGCCAAGTCCTGTTGGAACCTGAAATCTCCATCTCCATAGAGCAGGTCAGCAGCAGGAAGCATGAAGTGCTCTAAAACTTGCTGGTAGACGGCTGCGTTGACCCTTGATCTCAGGAAACAGAGTGGACCGACACCAGCAGATGACATGGCACCCCAAACCATCACTGATGGTGGAAACTTTACACTAGACTTCAGGCAACGTGGATCCTGTGCCTCTCCTGTCTTCCTCCAGACTCTGGGACCTCGATTTCCAAAGGAAATGCAAAATTTGCTTTCGTCAGAAAACATGACTTTAGACCACTCAGCAGCAGTCCAGCTCTTTTTTTCCTTAGCCCAGGTGAGACGCTTTTCGCGCTGTTTCTTGGTCAACAGTGGCTTGACACGAGGTATGCGGCAGTTGAAACCCATGTCTTTCAAGCGTCTCTTGGTGGTGGATCTTGAAGCCCTGACTCCAGCAGCTGTCCACTCCTTGTGAATCTCCCCCACATTTTTGAATGGTTTTTTTTTCACAATCTTGACTAGGGCGCGGTGATCCCTATCGCTTGTACACTTTTTCTGACCACAGTTTTTCCTTCCCTTTGCCTCTCTATTAATGTGTTTGGACACAGAGCTCTGAGAACAGCCAGCCTCTTCTGCAATAACCTTTTGTGTCTTTCCCTCCTTGTGCAATGTGTCGATGGTCGCCTTTTGGACAGCTGTCAAATCTGAAGTCTTCCCCATGTTTGTGTAGGCTTCAGAACTGGACTGAGAGACCATTTAAAGCCCTTTGCAGGTGTTTTGAGTTAATCAGCTGATTATTTTGTGGCACCAGGTGTCTTCAAAATGTAACCCTTACACAATATTCTAATTTTGTGACACACGGAATTTTGGATTTTCATTTGTTGCCACTTCAAATCATCAAAATTAAATGAAATAAACATTTGAATGCATCAGTCTGTGTGCAATGAATAAATATAATGTACAAGTTACACCTTTTGAATGCAATTACTGAAATAAATCAAGTTTTTCTAAATATTCTAATTTACTGACTTTTACCTGTATATACATACATACACATACACATACACATACACATACACATACACATACACATACACATACACATACACATACATATATATATATAT